ACCCTATAGAAATATCCATGCACTTTCCTCGAGTAGAATGTGTTGAAAAGACCTAGGTAGAAAGTTTATTAGGAGGCTAGAGTCACCCTTCAAGTCCGTCCTTTGAATAGGAAAGAGATCTGTGCTCAGTCTGTCGTGCTGTGCTCTTTCTACTTAGGTACTTCCGTGGAATCCATGTTTGCATCTGCATTTACGGAGTATAGTGTGATAGTCGGTAGTATAGAGTGTACAGTGTGCAGTGTGCAGTGTACAAGTATACTAGAGTTAGTACCTACAGTAGTTAGTTACATCGTGCACATGGAGTTTTCGGTTTGCATACTTTGGGCTCCAACATCCATAGACTCCTCCACTTATTTTTACGAGGAAGTTGTTTTAGCTCGTTGAGATCTCATCGATTTGCTGATGTTGATACTAATGCTAATGCTAAAAGCTCATGCTGATTGATGCTGATGCTTTACCGGTATCGCCTTGACAGGTCTCTCCCAGGCGAATATCTAACCACGATCCACAATACTACATGTGGCTGTGTTTGCTTGAGGCGCTATGGTGGGGGATTCGACTGCAAATCTGCAAATCTTCTGTCCTTACAGAATTGGCAACGTCAACATGAACGAATCGAAACATTGTTAGAAACGGCTCAACCAAGTCTTATCTTTCTGCCTTGGAAATGATATCACGTTTCTTAGGTTATGATGAAATTTCAATTGTCCATCTTTCAATCATCGAGAAATAAGAAATCTCATATCTCGATCGCACGTATACATAACATCATGCCCCCATTGTTTTCCAAAGTCATGAGTTTGTTTGACATCAGTTTCTTATTTCGTCGAGCTCAGATATCATCATATATCATCATACAATTATAACTTGGAATGAGATCTATCCATTTTATGTCATCAATGAATTCATAGTGATGAAAAAGATCTACTCACAAGAATATCACGACACTTGCTTGGGTACGTACTCACTGACAACACATTTATCTCGGCATTCTTAATTCTGTTGTCAAAAATCCCATTTTCTATTCACACGATGGTATCCCCTCTTCCCCCCACAAAATTGACTGTGATCAATCTCTCTTTTTCTACGGAACTTTTTTCAATTTTGAAAATATCACGATGCACGACTCAAGGACTACCCCTTTTTTCCACCCCATTACTCCAGTCTCCCAAAAAAACAAAAACTCAAATTGCTCTCGTGCTCAAAATAGTATTGTCCACCCAGCACAGTCCAGTTCCTCGCGTCTATTCTGTTAATCCAATTCCGGGGTCCCAAGATGGAACTTCAAACTACAATAGTTGCAAAAACAGAAAAGAGTCAAAGACGATCTATCTGACTGACAATATTGTTGAAACCCACCAGAGGCTAGAACCGAGACAACAGAGGTATTCGACCACAGCCTCGCCCATATATCAATGTCCAAACATTACAAACCATCTCTACTCCGAGACTCATTCCGCCCCGCCTGTCTAGTTTCCAATTTCCTACCTGAACACTGACCAGTCCAGCCCCCTCTCCAGGCTCCAAGTAGTTTGGGGGTAAAAAATTGAATTGGGACATCCGACGGGATTTCCTAATTTGACTTAACGTCTTTTCCCACAATTAGACTTTTTAACTTTTACTTCTATTCCTGGAGAAACGCCAACAGAAACAGAAACACATCAATCAAATCCAAAATTGAATGCCGGAGTACCGATACGATACAAGTATTGGAACCAAAGACCGTGCAGTCGTGCATGGCACTGCACGCTCACCTGTTTACACCTTAATAGGTAATTCCAGTCAAAAAGCATGGGACTGATTCCGCGGATAAGCATTTGAGTATCCATCTACTTACTTTCACCCCACAAGACCACCCTTCTAGAACGATATTGATCGGTTTATGAACCCCTTTCGAGTCTCATCACCGGCGACCCCCCAACCAAAAACTTCTTATCCGTCGTGGAAAAGGTCACGATGTCAATTTCTAGCTTCATGTTTGTCTCTTTCACAGCTGCACAGACTTCTGCACCCTGGGCCTCACAGACTTTACAGGGCTTCTTGTACTTCTCATTCATCTTGGTACCTGACTACCACCTTATTTTCCTACCCAAAATTTAACTTCTAAGACACACCCACTCCAACTCACGTACGAAGTTCGAGCTTCGAACAGGCGAACAAAATATTTTTTCAGAGGTACAATACATATGTACCATTTTAGTTACATACCACGTACAATCAGCATGTGTGGTAGCAATATGCAACATGCAATGCAAGACACGCATTTCAACAATCGAACACCCTTCAAAGATTCGAGACTGTGCACTGCATCTTCTGCAACGTATCCAGACTACTCGATATAAAAATAAAATGAAGAAAATAAATCGCCTCCTTTCTAGACCTTTTCGCAGAAAAAAAAATGAATCTTTCCCCACATCTTCAAAACATTATCTGTTGCTAACATGTGCCCGCGTGAGCATTTATATGGGTATTCTCCTTTTGTATCTATCGCGCAATAATTGAGAATTTCTCAAGATGGACTTTTGCTTGTCTGCTTGGCAGCTTGCTTCTCCAGCATCTTCGGTAGCAAATTGAAACTTAGAAATCCATACTGTACTTTTTACCGTACGTTCCGCTTCGCCAATCTACCATACGATGTATAAGCATAGTTTCAACAAGAATTCACGAGAATTCAATTCATAAGGTTACATACCGCTCCCTCGTAAAGCATAAACCACCAACCCACAAACTACTGTACGGAGTACAACTAGTCCTATCCTTCCGGTCTTAGCATTCGCAAAAGCACAAAGTGAACAAAGCTCTGCAGAAACCTAGATAGAGAGACATACCTATGCATAGGGATTCGCAATCCCTCCATCTCATCCCATCCCTTTATCTTTCTTCATCTGCGTGCTTCACCGACAGAAGATATGCCACATCCCTAGACTAAACCCAAAAATGAAATAAACATTAATTTTTTTTTACTTTTATCAATTTTATTTGGGACGGTAATCAGTTCGAGCTATCGCTTCACTAATAGAATAATAATTCTATTAGTGAAGCGAAGCGAGAGCGTGGGATGCGCATGGGGCAAATCGTTAGCGTACATTTTCGAGCAATGTTGTATCGCCCACCTTTTGGAGAGGGGAAATCTCACGATGTTTTTTTTTTCTTCTCTTTTTTCACTTTGGGTGAGATGAGATGAGATGGTTTTGTGTGGTGTTGTTGTGTGTGTGGTCACCGGGAAGGAAGTTTAGGGAGTCCGGTAAGGGGTTTGTGGTGTTGTACATAATTATTATTTGTATTTTAATGTTGTTAATAATTATATATCAATCTCACGAGTTATATATACAGATGGTAACAAATTCATTCAATATATATTTTCTGAGTGACAATAATATTTCTCATCCCTCTCTCTCTCTCTCTTCCATCCCATCTCATCCCATCGATACGATTCTCAAGTATATTTTTAACATTCTCGGCCGCATAGAATAAGTTCTAGGCATTCATCTCTCGTGCATTAATGTCCAAGCTTTTTTGTGCCGGTCTCTGATAGGATAGGTCGATTATGCGGCCGCGGGGAATCCGGCGCTAGTGCAGATTGGGGTTGAGCGAGGAGGATATTGATAACACGAGATAGATGGATATAGATATAACGGTGCTTGTGTCTATGTTTGAATTTGGCTTTTGGTCTTGCTTCGGATCTGGGTTGGGGTAGGCGAATCCACTACGGGATCTAGATGAGGAGCGGCGCTTGCTACAGTTTATTTGTTTATTCATTCGATTATTTATTTATTTAATAGATGGCCAAGTGGGTGAGAGAGCTCGAGCTTGGAAGGTGGTATGTATACAGGTGCGTTTTCGCTGAGCTCAAGCTTGGATACATACATGGCTAGGATCTAGCATGTTATGGACTAGAGCTTGAGGGTGTAGGATGGCAAGGCACAGTCGGGTATGTCGTGCATACAAGGAGGTGAGGGCGGAAGTTTATCATGACATCTGCACTATAGTATAGTATGGTATGTGCTTGACCGCCGCCTTGTTGTGGCGTGTGCTGTGTATAGATGCACAAAAGCTTAGATGTATACTAGCCAGGCTATGCTATGTACCGGAGATGAGAAACGGATAGGTATGTCGTGCATACACGGGAGCGGGAGGTGAGTACAATATCCAATCTAGGTATATAACACGTGCTTGGTTGCTTGTTTGCGTGTTTGCTTGGCTGCTTACTTGATCTTGTTCGTTCTCGCTGGGTGGTATTGTCCATCATCTATTAAGTTTAATCTTGAGCTTGAACAAGATCCACGGATGTCAGTTCGAGGGTTCATTGCCTTTAGAAAGCTGAGTCTGACAATGAAAGGTATGTAGTTCCAAAACTACATCAGAACACTCGACATTCATTATACTGGATTGGGTGACGGTGTTCTGAACATCAGAATTATTTCAAAGCAAGGGAAAGCTTCTTCCGGTCTGTAGTCCAGATCATGAGATGAGGTGTTCTAGTATCGTTTCCGGCCTCTTCGGTTATACCCTCGCCTTGCTGCTTGAAATAGTCAAGCTCGGGGGCGAGGAAGGGAGAGCAGAAGTGATTCCGGCTCAGTTTATGTGGATGGTGAGAGGTATCTCGTTTGGTACGGTCCAGTGACGGGATTGTCGAGATTTGGTGGAGAGGAGAGACGATGCATCATATAAGCAGTTAGAGGGTTTACTTGGATTGTTTGGAGGATGATGAGGTATTGGAGATTCGTCTGATATAATCCAGTGACGAATGAATTGAGTGGTTCGGCGGTAACTAGGAGGCCATAGGGAAGAGATCCTTTCGGTTTTATTGACGGCCTAAGTCACTGGGCGATCCGTTTGGTGTAATCCAGTGACGGATCTTTCAATTGTGTGACATGGATTGAGTGATTCAATGGTATCTAGTAAGCGATTGATGGGGTCCCTCTCGATTATTCAAGTAAGCAGGCGGCTTGACGAGGGGCTGACGGCGGAAAGATTGAATAGCATGCAGACCAAAGCCGTTATGAACTCCATTCATCTACCGAAAGTCTAGACCGGTGCAACATTCGTATAATTTTCTCTTGAATTGTCCGGAACTTGTTAGATTCTTGGAACTTACGGGATGAATGCTTGTGAATCTTGCAATCTACTTTGCCACAGCACCATGATCCGAGAACTGACAGATCTTCAGGATATTCAGGCGGAGATATTTTCGTTTGTCCCTCGTCTTTACGGCGGGGCTGTGTTGTTGAGGAGACCCTTGCGTATGCGCGGCGGTCGTACTCGCGAACGCTACCTGGGTTCAGGTGTCTGGGCTCATTAGTCCATTGAAAGGCAAAAGACAGTCCGTGGTAAGGATATCCGTTCGGATGGGCCTTCTTGAACAGAGCCTCTTCAAATTTTCCTTCTCTTACTCGCTCTTCCTCCTCGTCGTCACCCTCACTCAGTACTCCTGTATACGCCCCATCCTCGCTACCATCATCTTTCTCTTTCTCTTCCTCCTCATTCTCGTCTACACCCATTGTATCATGTGCCAATCCTTTTGTTTTCTCGGCTTGTCTCTCTAGTTCTTCCGCTGCCTGCCATACGCTCCGCCGCTTTTACTCTCGCATATAAGTCTTAGACTCCTCAGGCATAAGGGTAAGACGTCCATGTTGTGGTCGTCCCATCGTTTCACTAATAAGGAGGATGGACTGTCTCAAGAAGCTCAATTAGTTCAAGACTATGAATTTATATAAGCGTATCAGCTGACCTGGATATGTGAACTAGTCTGAATGTAAGAATTGTTCTGAGAACTCGAAATGGTTGGAAAGAATGAAATGAAATGACTTGATTGTTTGTCTTGTCCTAAGGTCACAAGTCAGTCTCAAACTGCGGAATGTCTGAATGTATGAACCGACTAGAGTGATTGAAACAACTTGAGTATGCGAATCTGCGTGAGAATATAAATCTACCTGATAGTATGAACCGTCTTGAGAATTCAGGTCAAAATTGTCTTGAATATATATGATCTGGCTTAAGAGTCTGAAGTAACTTGCAGGTATGAATCCATGTTCGAGGAGAATCCTTAAGAAGCTAAAAATAAACCAGAGGAAGCTTTTGAAATATCCACCCCAGAATTTCCAAATTAACTGAATGCAAATCTAAACTAATAGAGAGTAAGTGCTACGAAGCAATCATATACACCGATCCCTATAAACCAGCCATTAATACCAAATGACTCCATAATCACGTCTATTCCTCATCATTCAAATGGCTTATCTTGATAACACTACATCAAACCCAACCCTCACGTTAGGTAAAGGACATATTTATATCAAACCTCGAGATGTATCACAAGTGGTGTACTTTTACTATCAAACTAAAGTATCTAGTTAGAATAAGCTTCGGAGCCGTTTCGCTAGTATATGATTCGCTTAATCACTGATGGACTTCCTTTCACATTGAATGCCTTTGGTATTGGGCATGTGATGTCGTCAGTAACTGTGTAAGGGATAACTTTGGAAGGCGCGAATGAACCAATATACATGTAAATTAGATCCATACGATTGAAAATTATATGCTCTTTCCACGCCTACAAAAACGATCCCTTTGACGTAATACGATTTTCTTCTTACCGAAAAGAGTCCATCTGATGATTTTGAGAGGCATGATTTGGTATCAATGGGATTGGAGTTATCTAGACAGTCGTGATTCATGATGTTTGCTTAGGACTTGTTGCTTTCGATTGGTTTACGGATAATTTCTCTCTGTGCCTAGGTGAGAAATTTGGATATCTTTCCCAACATCTTATTTCTATAGGATACCATCTTCCGTTATGTGGTTCAAATCTGAGACTGTCGACGAATCGGTAAGTATTGCCTTTTGTTCATGGAAATACTGTGCAAAAGAATAATGTATCTCAATGTGACCAGCTCAAAAGTATCACTCCACGGCTGTTTGATCCATTCACTTGAACAGCTGAATTAGCATTGTGATTCATGACAAGTAAGCTCCCATAGGGCTGAACTAATATCTCAAGAGTCAAAAAACATGCTCACCACAGCTCCGAATACCCACGTTGAATCATAGATATTAGGATCTTTCAATGTCTATTACTTCATATCGCATTATCAGATCATGTCAGACAACCGCATTCTCCTGTTTCAACTGTCGTATGAAGGTAACATTTATATCGGCAAACCTTCATTTCATTATTCTAGATGACATGATAGATCTATTTGAAGGAACCCAAATTAAACAGGGACTTCAGACTGTACGATACAATATCAGATATCGAGTATTATCTCTATCTGGTCAAATAACATTATATCTCCGTCATGATATCACTACCAAGTCAAATTCCAACCCTAATGGACACAGCAATCTACAACATGAATATCCTACATCGAGTTGAGTATCAATTAGAGTAGATTGGTCTAGAAAGTATCCTCATGCCACCGAGATCCCAACCTGGTGTATTATACAGCTAGAGCATATGTTCAGATTCTTACCTATAGATCCATAGAAGATTCCATCTCGCAAGAAATTAAAATAGCAACATCATCTATCAATCGGATATCATCATCATCACCACCACCTTACAAATTTCTATCAACTCCTTCAAACTTTACCGCAAACATTGACAAGATATTTTTCTCTACTATCCTTCTATCATTTCTTGATCTTCTATCGATTTTCATAATCCAGAGTCTAGATATTTAACAACCCATCAATAAATTCAGCTTATTGGATCAGTATACACATACCTCATCTTCTCCTTCGTTCTTGTATGTCATCGGTATAAGAACAATATACATGATTACAAGAAAATACTCATCAGATCTACAGAAAATCTAACTGCTTAGAAAATTGAGGTTTATGAGGTACCCTCTAACCGCTATGCTGTACTATTTTACAAGTGAATCGATCCGGATATCTGTGTCACTATGTGAGACTACTTCTAATTGCGGCACATAGTCTTGGACTAATATCCAAAATGTAAAATTCAAGATTTTAAGCAAGTGGAAATTTTCATTTGATCAACGTATTTATTTATTTATAAACCCAAATTTCCCATGCATTGAATATCCTCCACAAAATATTCGTGCAGTTTACTATTTGTGGCCAACTATTCAACCATAAAATAAAATATCAATGATTCTGTTTGATCTCATTTCCCAAAAAGCCTCTACCATTTTCCCCGTGTGCACTTTGCCACCAACCAGCACGTATTGTGATAAAAAATGAAGCAAACCATCCAACCCTGCCCGTATAAGACCCAAGAAATTATCGAGTATCATTAGTAGCCTCCGTAACCACCACCACTGGGTGGATATTGATACCCACCTTGACCGCCATAAGGGGGCTGTTGAGGTGGATATTGTTGACCTGAGTATCCCTGCTGAGGAGGATATTGGTTCTGAGGAGGTCCTTGACCCCATGGATCGGGGGGAGGTGGTCCTTGTTGGCCCCATTGGCCGGAAGATGGCCCTTGATTCCAATACTCTCCTGGAGGAGGTCCTTGTACGTAGTTGTTATGTGGAGGGCCGCCATACTGTTGGCTGTATGGCTGCTGCTGGTGTTGTTCATAGCCTCCGTATTGTTGATATGGAGGTTGTTGAGATGCATAACCACCTTGTTGTTGATAACTTGGCTCAAGGTAAGAATTTCCACCTTGAGGTGGCTGTGAAGGACCCGTGTTGCCGTACCCGTAATTTGGAGTACCGTGTTGTCGTCCCGGAGAACCTGGAATTGAGGAGGGGTTTATGTATGATGGCTCAGTATCCAAGCCCTCCATTGCTCCTAGATCTCTGGTTTTGATTTCTGACCAGATAGATCCTGAGGTCTTACCGTGGCCACCGAGAGAGCCATGATTATGATCATGTTGGTCTGAGCCGGTGTGGTTTCGACCTGCTTTTACGGATTCTGAACTGAGTAAATGGTTTAGACCCTGGGCATTTGGTTGTTCGTTGATCCAATCTTTCACAGTATTGAACATGTTCTTGTGGATTTCGACATGTTCGTCGCGAAGAGCTGGATGGTGGAAGGTGCGTAAGATATCGTTCATTACCTCATCAACCGGGACGCCCGGATTTTGCCACGCGTAGAGTATGCGACTAAAGGAGATTAGCAATTGTGTTGCCACTATAGCAGGAAAGCTTACGGTGTAACATATTGTAAGATGGTGGAAGCCACTCTTCCAGCGCATGAATTCAATATGTTAGAAAAATGATCCTTGGAAAGCATAGAGTGAGTTGGGTCAGTGCAATGTGGGTCATTCCATGGCTCGAATTGAGAGTTTGCACTGGCTTCAACAACTGTACTTGAACCCTTCTTCAAACTATCAGATACTGCATCAATGATTGGTCGAACAAATGGTGCGAGTAAAGATAGAATAAACACGGTCAATGTCTCACTAATCCTCTCGACCAATGATTCGAGGCCAGGAATCTTGGCAATTGTGTTGTTAATGGCTCTGACAATCTTATCTCTGAACTCGAGAATAGGATAAATCTTCTTTGCAGTTGCAACTGCATCAAAATCAGGGCTCATTCCTGGAACACCTGGACCTGGTGGGCCACCTGTAGAGCCAGGAGGAGCGTTAAATGTGTTTCCAGAAGCTCGAGTTTGCTGGTTTGAATTTTGATATTCTTGAGCGGCAGATTGAGCTTGAAGATCTCGTGCGGTACTTGCTAATCCGCTACCCATACCAGGAATCTGAGCTAGAAGACCTGCAAAGTCCGTGCCGCTACTTCCAGATCCAAATAGCCCACGTTGGCCATCACCGCCACCACCACTCTGCTGCGCCTTTTGCGCTCCACCCAAAGCAAGATCCATTTCCTCAACTTCGGTTTGAGTGAAATGATCAGTTGCTTCACCAAGAACTGAATGTAAGAAATCAACCGCTCCGAATGTACCTGTGACTAGAGGATAAACATGATGACCACGAATATTAATCTCCGCGTTTACGCCACAATGAGGGAAGACATCACGATATCCTAATTCTCTCAAAGCCAACTCGCAATAATTTGTGTGGGCTCCAAAGTCTTCCATGCAGTGCAAGGCTTGTCCAAGACATCTAAGGGCTTCACAGAGATCTTCTTCCTTGCCTTTACCATGTGAGCCGCTAGTATACAGTCTACCAAAATGGATACTCCGTGCGAAGCTGAATTTGACGTAACCGGCACTAGTTGCCCAGCCTCCACTTTCGTTGGCAATGTAATTTTTCATACCTGAATTTGGGTCGATTTCGAGCTCTATAGGATTAATAGGGCCACGAAGTCTGGGGTCAAAAGTTCTTGCATCTTCATTATCAGCATAACCTTTGGGATTATCGATATGCTCTTCGGGTCTATAAACGCCAAGACGCTCTTCTGTGACCTCAAATTCTGCAGTAGCGTAACCAAAAGACAGGAAACTAAGAACCCAAACCTATGAATGATTAGCAAGTATGGCTACGATAATAGAGTAGCCATTTACTTACCAGAATTCGGATTGTAGGCGCTGATACACCTTTCAAACTTCCCACATCGACTGCTTGAGAGTAATCTCGCAACCAATTTCCAAAGTAAACCCTCTTGATCATCATACTCGTCCACTTATGACCCTTAATGAAAGCAACTGTCTTGAGCATATCCTCGATATCGCCATGACGAAAGTTCTTGCCCTCGACATTGGATATACTAGGAATATTACCGGCACCAAAAGCTGCTGCGGGGGAAGGTAAAACAAGAAGCAAAATGCATGCTATGAGCAAAAATGGCCCTGAGTTGGGAATTAGGACAGCCATTTTGTGTTTTGATGTTACCACCACTATGGAATTGTACGTTTGGCAAAAGATGAAGAGTAGAAAAGAGGTTTCTAAGATCGGAAAGATGACGAAAGCAGAAGAATTATAACATGGCAATTGTTGTAAGCCTTGCCAAGTTACTGAGCCACATCTGACGACCTGAACGCAAACCCCGCCATCCATCATGTGAATCCTCGAGGCTTGACAGTCACGTGATAAATATGAATAAGCCAAAGGTTCAATTGAGATTGTCTGCAGGGAGTACCCTGAAGATCGGTTGTCGGTATCTACAGATTTGATGTGGCTCGATTCTCTATCAAAGTCTCCTGAGAAAAGATCACCATCCATGGATATTCCTAGTGGCCGGTGTATCAATCGACTCTCAATATATACTCGAACTGGGACGGTGACGAGTCGTTTATTATATATACTCTATTCTGATTGTAGAGGAAGGAATTCTGGAGTTTTTGATTGTAAACATCCCATTTCCTTGATTGCTTCCTTTGGCAGCCACATATATATCAAAAGACGTTGCACGACTTCCACCGCCCTATCCACGGATTGTCCGAATACTCCGTTTCTCTGTTTACGCCCGTGCCCAACACCTCTCTAGTTTCTTTCCCAATTTGCCTCCCGAAATCGATACAAAATATCGATTCATCCCTCCTATACTTCTGCGATTCTTTATTTTTTCTAATTCGAAAGTCGATATCATTCGACAAAACCGCGACCATGTCTCCTTCTCGAACTCTCCCAACCCTTACTCAGGCGGAAGTCGCCTCTCATAACTCTGCAGATAGCTGTTATGTTACTATGGGCACAAGGGTCTTTGACGTTACAGATTTCGTTGACAGCCATCCGGGTGGTGGTGAATTGGTATTAGAATACGCCGGTCAAGACGTAACGGAGATCTTAAAGGACGAGCTCTCGCACACCCATTCCGAAGCTGCTTACGATGTTCTTGAGGATTCTTTTATCGGATTTGTTACTACAAATAAGGTTATCGATACCGCTACCAAGAGTACAAAACCAGATTCCATAGTTCCACTTCCACCTACAAAAGAAGGCTTGAAGGAATTGAAAGAAAATGAATCCGCAAATTCTCTGCCTGTTTATGCCAGTACTGGGATGTCCACGGAAGATGATTTGAATAAGGAGACAGATGTTGTGAACGATTATAAAACACACAAGTTCCTTGACCTAAACAAGCCATTGTTGATGCAAATCTGGCGTGGTGGGTTTACCAAGGAGTTCTACTTAGAGCAAGTTCATCGACCTCGTCATTATAAGGGAGGAGAGTCTGCACCTCTTTTTGGGAATTTCCTTGAACCTCTATCAAAGACATCTTGGTGGGTTGTGCCTATGGTTTGGGTTCCACCTGTCACCTACGGTACATACCTTGCGAGCAAAGGATTCAATAACATTGCTGGAGAAGCAGCGTACTGGTTCTTGGGTCTCTTCCTTTGGACTCTGGTCGAATATATTTTGCATCGATTCCTCTTCCACCTCGACAAGTATGTATACTACCATACAACTCTCCTTTAAATTTGATAGCGAATGTCAAGCTAACATGTATCTCTAGATGGCTCCCAGACAATCGAGTAGCACTCACGCTTCATTTCTTACTTCACGGCATTCACCACTATTTACCAATGGATAAGTACCGATTGGTTATGCCTCCTACCCTCTTCATTGTTTTAGCGACTCCTTTCTGGAAGCTTGCACATGCTGTGTTCTACTGGGATTGGCATGTGGCTACAGCAGTATTCTGTGGAGGAATATTTGGATACATCTGTTATGATCTGACACATTACTTCCTTCATCACCGCACACTGCCTTCGTACTGGAGACAATTGAAGAAGTACCACCTTCAACATCACTTCATGGATTACGAAAACGGGTTCGGGGTTACTAGTAGATTCTGGGATTGCATCTTTGGAACTCAACTTGCGCCTGCGCCAAAAACTGTATGAAGTGGAGATGGATAATGAATTTGTAAATGATGCAGCCGATCTAGGAAATAATGGCGTGTTTTTGGAATGACTTGACGATATAGAACTATCAAGACATTCTGGTCTCGGCGTTCATGAATTAGGCTGGATACGGAGAGCACGCTGGCCTTCCTAGAAGAATTAATAGTTTCGTAACCTTTTTAATATCCTAATATACACTTTTTACTTTCGAAAAATCATAATTCATTGCCTTCGTATCGTACATGCTGCCAAAATTTTTATAAATGTTCAACTCAATTCACTTTAAAAGATTGATCGTGGGCCAAAAACTCAGCAAGAATATTTTGACCATTCAAAACACGTGGTGCAGGTGCAATGATCAAACTAAGAAGAAACACTAGACTGACTAAGTCATGTTTTTCCCACCAGCCACTTTCTGTACGAGACAACAATTCTAACTTTTAAAAGTCTTTCACTAATTCCATATCCATCAATCTTTGACGGCTTCAAAGACCACTAGCCATCGTATTTTATCTATCTAATTTGCCAAGCAATCATTTAGAATAAGAAGATCATCGAATTTGTAATTTGTCCATTCTCAGGCGAGTAACTACCCTCACCATGTCCGCCTTAGATGTCGAAGCCCTCTTGGATTCAACTGCAGCTGCTACTCCTGTTGAGCAAAACGGATCTGCTAAGACCAAAGAATCCGATGACCGCCACAAGGGTGAGCGCAGTGAAAGACGCGACCGTGATAGACTTCGCGATGATAGCAGGGATCGCGACAGAGATAGGAAGCGCCGCGCTCGCAGCAGAGATAGAAACGAGAAAGATGGCACCTCAACCCCAACAAGTGAGCATGGAAGCGCAAAGGGTAGACGCAGAAGTAGAAGCCGAGATGACAATCGTCGACAACCTCGTCGCCGCAGAGATACTCCGGAAGAAAATGGCCGCAGGGATGGAGATTATTACAGAGGAGGTAGGGGTGGTGGACGTCAACGCTCACGTACCAGAAGTCCCGATAGATATTACCGTCCTCGAGGTGACCGCCGTGACCGCGATGAGGCCGACAAACCTCGAGAAGAACGCCGGCCGAGAAGCCCCAAACGAGAAGGAACACCCCCCTTGACCGAGGATGAACGGGATAGGCGCACCGTTTTTGTGCAACAGCTAGCAGCTCGTCTCAGAACTAAGGAACTCATCGCATTCTTTGAAAAGGTTGGCCCCGTTAAGGAGGCTCAGATTGTCAAGGACAGAGTTAGTGGTAGATCTAAAGGGTATGTGTTTTCTTCATAAATCTTGCATGGCTCATTTACTAACTTTTGTACAGTGTGGGCTACGTTGAGTTTAAAAACGAAGAATCAGTTCCTGCTGCTATACAACTCACTGGACAGAGACTCCTAGGAATCCCAATCATTGCACAACTCACCGAGGCTGAGAAAAATCGACAAGTCCGCAATCCCGAAGCTACCACTAGTAACCCTAATCAAATTCCATTCCATCGACTATATGTGGGTAACATACATTTCAGCATCACTGAAAGCGATTTACAGAATGTATTTGAGCCATTTGGTGAGCTCGAATTTGTTCAATTGCAAAAAGAAGAGCAAGGACGTAGTCGAGGTTATGGATTTGTTCAGTAAGCTTTCCCCATGAAAAGTCTTTCAGTTATGCTAACCAGTATAATAGGTTCCGCGATCCAAATCAAGCTAGAGAAGCGTTGGAGAAGATGAATGGGTTTGATCTTGCTGGCAGACCAATTCGTGTTGGTCTTGGAAACGATAAGTTCACTCCTGAATCTACCGCCAGTCTTCTGCAAAGATTCCATGGCCAAAGCCACCAACAACAATTTCAGGGTTCCGCATTTTCTGGCGCTGGTGGGCGTGGTCCTACCGCTGCTGGCGGCAGCAATTTCGATCGTGCTGGTGGTCGAGATAATGATAAAGGTGCGGGTGGTGCTAGTGCTTTGGACGACACTGACGTTGGCGGCGTGAACTTCAACAATTATAGTCGAGATGCATTGATGAGAAAACTCGCCAGAACAGATGATACCACGGTTGCGGCAAATCACGAAAGAAGAGAAGTATCAAAACCTAAAACAGAAACCAAAGCTTTACCTGTCAATGTCAACATGGCTAGCCGTTGTGTTGTACTCAAGAACATGTTCGACCCTACAGAGTTAGTAGTATATCCCCTTCTGTCAATTCATTACTAAACAATTTCACAGAGAGGACGGTGAGAACTGGGAAAAGGAACTCGAGGATGATGTCCGCGCAGAAGCGGAAGAAAAATATGGCCACGTTGTTCACATTGCTTTAGATCCAAACTCCCAAGGAGATATTTATCTCAAATTCGATCGAGTACAAGGAGGAGAGAATGCCATCAAGGGTCTGAATGGAAGATATTTCGGTGGGCGAATGATTAGCGCTACTCCTGTTGTGGATGCAGTCTACAGCAGTTTGTTCTCTCGCACAAAGGCTATGTGATATGCTAATAATGGCCTACACTCCACTTGTATTAGGGTAACATCTGGTAAGTTACAAATCCGTCTTTTACATACCTAAGACTAATGATGAGTAGATTTTTATTACAGAAATCTCTATGCGATAGGCATACCTTCGAAAAACCTCGCAATATCTCGATTATTTGAAGCAGTAATCACCTTTCTGTTTACAATGCATAATTCAAGTATCTCAGATGATCCGGACTTGAATCTTGCTTCAAGAACCTCAAGCAAACGTCTAAAAACATTGCTGATTTCTTTGTGCAGGAGCTTCTTCTCAAGCCTTAACCTCTGCCTATGATTCCACTGATTGCACATAGGAACACTCTTTACTGTATACAAATTCACTCATTTCATTTCCTTTTGGCATGCAAGCTTTCGGGTTTGACGGTAGCACACTTTTAGTTAGATGGAGTAATAAAATTATCAACATGACCTTCCATCGATATTCATTATGTGATGACTGTGGTGCTGTTGACCGATGTAACCTAACTGCAGACCAAAAATATGTTAAGCTACAAACAACATATTCAGTCAAGGCTCTGCAAGTGCTAGGACCTGTTATAGTGTTACTCCCCTGATTGAGCTTTGAACCATTGTAGACATTATTTTATCAGCCAAGAAAGTTGTGGTGTGCACGCCAGATTCTTTTGAATGTTTCTTCTCGAAGCGATTGTCCTCATTTCATGCTTGAAATCTATCTACCAGTCATGATAGTGTCTAATTGACAATGTCCATTTAAGGTTCGACATTAAGCGAAGTCTTGATATTTATGACAATTGGTCCTGAGAGAGCTCTTAGTAGATGAGTAGGAACTGTCAGTTTAGGAGAATGCTTGATCATTACAAATGACGCCAAATGCAATGATTGGAGTTCCAAGAACGCAACACTCAGAGCTATGACTAGGAGTTCATGATTTTGCAGGACCGGGTCAGTGCTACCTGGTAGTAGTGAACGGATAGCTAAAGCCATTTGCTCTTGGGTTTAGCTCCCACAGTAATTGTTTGTAGGGGAGGGAAGCTGTCGGTGTCTCTCTTGAATGTTCAACTCTGTATTTGACCCAGCGATAGAGAATTCTTCTCCAAATTATTTCTTCTTTAGCGAGTTTAGAACTTCATGGAGATGAAAAAGGTGGTTGTGAGAGGAGATGCTAGTGCTGCACGCTATTAGAAAGCTTTGATTATGTGCTTCACTGGCTGCTATTTAGTACGCACCTGCGTATCTAAAACCTTGTCTGAAGAAATGAGTTTCATATCTAGTTTATTGGATGCAAGATGAACATTTTAGAAAACAGAAGTAAAGCCTCAAAGTATTTTCGAGAGCCTCGCCGAAGAGAATTCGAACGGCAAAGATGCCAATATTCAGTAGATTACGAACATCTCTGTCTAGAAAGAACAGACTCTAGTCGAAACCTCCTATGGTCATCGTCAATTGTTCGCCCCAAATCAGCTGAACGTTGTAAAAGACACAATGCATTTTACAATCTGCCAACGTTTGCCACTTTGCTTAGAGCCGGCAAAGGACTGTCCTTCAATCCTAGCCTTCAAAGTTCACGATAGCTAGCACCAATAGTTCAAGTGGGCATAATTTTTAGCTTCCGCTCCGAACTAGCTTCAGATGTGATAGCTCTGGAATCAATGATCGTCTGTTGAACAGCAAACCCTCAAAGATGCTACAGGCAAGTAAGGATCAAAGCCAGCTTCACAAAAAGAACCAGGTATCTTCAAGACAAAACCCCAGCACCTCTTTTCGATTACTTCACATCTCAATAAAAAGGAGGCATGTGGGGTTCAATCAATTCACCTCCACAGCTCCGCCACAATTACCCCACAATCTCAACACGCCACACCAACCGAACACATCCACCTCGACTTTGACAACAATGCGAACAAACCCTCAATGTCAGTCAGACAGAGGAAGATCGAGGACATAAAAAAACAAAATGGAAGCGTGAGCAAAACGTCCATTGCGCCAACGGGGAATCGAACCCCGGGCCCAAGCAAACTCGTGAAGATGTACATCTTAACATGGGAAGCTTGGATTTTACCACTAAACCATTGGCGCTAGTATTTTAGTAGTGAGATGTTCAAATTTGAGCATATATTTACTTCCAACCAGCGCCAGGTATCTTCCGCAAAATTGTTTCCATTAATAGGCAGTGAATGATTTTTTGTTGGTAGCGCATACTTTCTCTACTATAACAAGCATTTTCTTTTTAATTGGATAATTCACCAAGTCCTAATACTTTCGTCGACCTGCTATGTTATAGATATGATCGAGGGAGCTTATATAGAGTGATCCAATTCACGTGTCGCATATCATATATCTTCTCAAGATTAAGAGACAGAAAGGCTTCAATCATTCTGAGACAGGGAAATACTACTAGAGTCTCAAGTACTCAGATGCATGTCTTCAAGAGTTTCCACGAGATACAACTTTAATGAGGAGAATCACGCGGAAGTCCCGCTGTTCAACCTTTCTTGGGTCTGCGACCAAGCTGCTCATTTACATGGTTACATGGTGAGTATATTGCTGAAATCATGGTATGTATTGGCACTCGCTCAGGGCTTTGGGAGATTAGAATCATGGCGTTGAGCCAGGAACTTTGATGATAACCCTTATGATTCAGCCACATTATGAAAACGAAATAATTGCTTTAAAAATAGCAAAGACCGGCGATATTGATCTTTCCAGGGATGAATGACGATTCCTGACTTATCAATTTCTCTCCAGATCAAACTTTCTGATAAAAGTCTCTTCCTACAGATAGCGACACTCTCAAATCTTCACATCTAGTAAACGAGGAAACAAACCAGCCAGCTCGTGAAAACCACACACCGTATTACAACGCCTAACAACCCCTTAGGTATCTGGCCCAAAGATGTTGCCGCCACCTCCTCAGCCCAACACAAATACATCAGAACCGACATCGTAGACCCCTACTACCCATCTCCCGCCCCCCCGATGCGCACTTCATCTTCCTCTCGCAATCCACGAGTTCCGACTGAGCGTTCGACCTTCGATCTAGTACATTCACACTTTGCACTTCCAGGCGCAGGAACAAATTCTCCACGTTCCGTTGTCTGCCCTCGTTGCGCTGATAAAACCAGGTGGATACATCCAGCAATCCAAAATGGTGTTTACACCCAGGCCGTTCAACGGACCGGCCATGAAAGAATTCCAGCAAGCATGTATCGATGTATTTACCATGGTTATTGGAGGAGTACTTGTATACTATTGAGAAATAGTATCGCGAGATGGGATTAGAAAATGTGCAGTATTAAATCTATACGATTCCCATTGGGGCAAAAGCGGAGAGTGAGAGGATTAGGGATATAAGTATTGAGAGTCTCGGGGTGACTTGTCAGGGATTGATGGATACTACGCAAGGTAAACCTTTTTGTGGGTTTGGGGTGTGACAGTGGAAGATCACTTGCTTATGATTCCTATCTAGTATTGCCACCTATATCCATCTCGCCGGAAAGACTTTCTACATCGCCCCAGCGACTTCGCAAAGAATTGACGGAAATTGGTGGGACTTAGCAACCATTCGCCATCTGGGGTTGTAGAGGGGTATAGAAAAAAGCTCTCGCGGAGTCACAATTGGCAAAGCTGTAAGGTAACTTGAAAATCAAGGAATGGAGACGTTGCAAACAAAACTTTTGATTCTTGAATTTGAGTGACGATCATGATGGTACAATTTATACATATCTCCTATTTTCCTTAACGTCGAGTCTATGCCAGATCCCACCCATCATTAGAGCATAAGGTCCGCAATAATAATACAATGCTCTAAATCCACTCGTAAATTTCTCTATTTTGACTTTTCTTCGCTAGTCTCTTCCACTGATCTCATCATTTCATTGTTCTCCTCAGCCGCCCTCTTCATCTCCTCATGCCCCTCGTAAACACCAACCTCCTTTGGCTCCTCTCTAAATTCCAAGGTCTTGACCGGTTCATTGGCCTCCTTCTCCGTAATCCTCTGCCTCCATGCCCGACCACTTTGTGCCAAGTACTTCAAATGCGCAATAAATTTACTATTTCTTTCCTCTGCCCATTTGGTGTCGGGCTCATCTGATCGTTTCAAAGCTGTCTTCCTTCTTAATTGGGTTGCTTTATAAAGATTCATAGCCCTTTCATGATCAGGAATTTCAGATAATGCGTATTCAACGACCCATTTATCATCTTTCGTCAACTTTTCCGGTCGTATCACGTAGCTGTCATTGACCTTGTTGCGAATGGCAAGATGCATTGCTAAAATCTGTTTTTCGGGTTCTTCCTCTGGAAGACTTGACTCGGTATCTGGAATTAATGTCTCGTCGTTGTTATCTGTTTCATCTGAAGTGAAAGACTCATCCGTTGAGCTTTCTTGGGACTCTGATGACTCATGATTCGAATCAGTGAAATCATCACTTTCCTCAGCCGAGTCAATTAATAGATCCTCATTTTCGACAAGTTCCGGCTCCCGAACTTCAGATGCTTCGGCGTTGCTGTTTTGAGCCTCCGCATTTTCTTCAGCTGGGTCGACGAGAAGACCTTCTTGCATGACTGTTTCCTCAATGGCAAATTCCCTAAGATCGCTAGGTTTTGCTTCTCCGCTTGAGTTTTCGGGTCCCTTTTCGGCGTCTCTCTCTTCAGTTTCCTCTTCTTCCTCTCCCTCCCCATCGTCGTCCTCTTCAGTTTCGTCCTCCTCTTCCTCCTCTTCCCCTTCTTCCTCGTCATCCTCATCATCCTCCTCATCATTCTCTTCGTCTGCATCCTCATCCGCCTCTGCAGTAGTTTTTTCCATGTCCTCGTCGTGTTCTGCTTCTTCAATCTCTTCCATAATATCATCTGTCTCTTCATCGGCATCAACATTATCTTCTTTCCACAATTTATTCTCGCTCTCTCCAGCAGCATCAGCTTCACCTTGTTCATTGTAAGATGAGGTTGAAAGGAACTCTTCCACACGTTGTTCTACCTCATCCAATGTTAAACCGGTGACATCATGATGCTCAACCAAGCTCTCAGCGATTTCCTTTGCACTCTTGATCTCAAATTCATCATTTTCCATACTTTCTTCAATCTTGGCACGGAGATCTTCCCATTCAGCATTCTTTTTTTCTTCCAACTGCTCTTCTTCTCCCTTCTCACCATGCAGGCCTAAAACGCGAGCTTCGAATGCTTCAATCTCTGCTTTATTTGTATCCTGAATCTTTTGGATCTCTTCCTCTTCCATAGGCTCAGCAAAAATGTACATAAATGGCGTCTCGACATTACCACGAGTCTCGAAATGTAAACGTAATGACTTTCCTGGAAATCTAGCAGTAGCACGATCCAAGGCTTTGTTGAGTAAGTCAACACTGAGTTTGAATTCCCGATCTCCGGTGGTGGTATCCGTCGTTCCGTGAATAGTATTGTCTAATTCTGGTAAACTGATATATTGGAAACCGAAGATTCGCTCTATGTTGTGATATGCAACAAAGATGCCATCCATACGACCCATTCTAACTTGTAAAGAGTACTTTAAGAATGCAGCTCTGATCATATCAAAGTACTCTCGTTCAAAAGAATTATATTCTCCATGAAGGCTAAAGATCTCGTAGCCACTTCCTTCTGCGTAATTTTCAATATCCATACGGATCGAGATTACAGCTCGAGTCTTTAGATCAAACATGCCGCTGCCCGGAAGACGGGGATCGTGAGCGTCGAGTTGGGATCTCATAAGGAAATCGCCCATAGTAGTATAATGGAAGGATTCAACTTCGTTACGTTGATCTTCTGTGATTGAAGTTGAGTTTTCCTTCCGATACTGTTCAAACTCTTCTTTCGGTAAAGTGAGAAGCTTCTCCATTGATTTTCCAAGCATACTCAATATATTGGCTGTATCAAATTGCTTGTCCGCATCAATGGCATAAACTCCGTCCCTCTCCCTCAGGAATACTGCTGAGGGACCTCGCTGGAGAGCAGTAAAGGAATTGAATTCAACAGGGAAATTTTGTGACAGCATGCTTGTATTGATCGGTCTCCACTGTGATAGCAAGAAATGAAAGTGGGCAAGGGATGCCGACATACTTGAAGTTGAACCTGTATACTTTCTCTTTTCATGTTTGGCAGTCTCAATCAATGCTTCATCCCTCGAAGAAGTGACATATTGTTTCAAAGCGGTGAAATCGAATTCACTGACGGGCATAATCTTCTGCAAATAAGGATCGAAATTGAACACACGTGAACGAGGATCCTGGAGGTGATACACTCCAGGGTTGAACAGGGCTCTTTCAAGTCCATATGATAGTCCAGGAACTGGAGGTTGCTTCTTCTGTACTGGTACTAGCTGAAGAGAATCGGCATCTACCGATTTCACTTCAAATGCAGTTGTGCCGGGAGATTTTCTCATTGGACCTGTCTTTATTGATTTAACCTTTGCAGGCGCAGCCTTTTCGCGACTTGGTTTCTGCTCCTTGGCAGATTTAGACTTTCTATCCACAATCCTCCTGACCGGAACTTGAGGAATAGATTCAAACGAAGCCAGCATTCCAGCTAGGTTAGTTGATGAGCTTACAGCTTCAGAAACCGCATCATCCTTTTTCGGCCTTGGCCTATTGACAAGAGATGCACGTAATTCTTTCATAACTTGAGTCCGGTCTGTGGTAGTTAAGCCTCCCTTTTGAATAAGATCGACGAGGTCCTTTCTTGCAGCAGCTTCGCCCTTTTCAGCTACCATAGTTTCGTAGATGGAATGCAGCTGCCAAGGAGCTATCTTCAGATTCTTTGTGTCATCATGGACAGCATTATTGCTTTCAATTTTTCGGATCAAGCTCTTCGAGCTGGTCGAATTGACATAATTGATAAGCTTTTGCTTGACCTTTTTGATTCGATCCTTCGATTCAATTTCTTCTTCGTTTATCTTTTTGTGTGTTACATTACCACTAGTAGTCTTTGATTTGGGCGTGCCCTTCTTCGCATTCTTCTTCGTCTTCGATTTTGATTTTGAGCCAGACTCTTTGATGTTCGTTTGATTCCCATCTTCGCGATTTATGTCCCCATGGTCCAAGGTAGCCTGCTGCTGTTTGCCCTTCTCTTGCTCATTGACCTGCTTAGCCGGTTTCTTCTTTTTCAACTTCGCGACTCTTTTTGCCTTCGATGCTTCCATTAAACTTTGCAGAGCAGCTGAACCTGCCGTTTGAGTACCGTTATCTTTCGGAGCATTATCGACCTTCTTGGTGTCAGTATTTGTATTTTTCTTCTTGTAATTAAGCCGTGTCGTCGAAAATGTGGCGGCATTTCTAGGTGCCCGCGGCGCGCCTCGTATCGCATTTGAGTATAGAGGAAGAGCATCTGAAGCTCCAAGAAGTTTCGAGAGGCATGATGTACAGACGTATGGTTGCTGCAGCTTAGGAGTCCGCCGACTGAGAGAGACAAACATGAGAGTGATTTAGGGAATAAACCTCTTTTGTTCATACAATTAATGGACTCGTTCCTTATCGTCTATGATCTCGATTTTTTTTTTTCTTGATTGTCTCCCACCTCTATCTTAGCGTACTTTTACGGGACAGGGCGTGCAGGGGGGCCGATACCCTTACCCCACAGCAAAATGATCCCCATCCTGAAATCAATTCACCGAAGCTCAATTACCGATCAAGCTTTCTTGTTAATGAATACATTGAGAGAGGTCAGGCAAGGTTTGGAATAGCTGGTGAGAAATTGGAGCACTTTTCAATCGTGATTAGATTGTATGTATTGCATATCGCACAGTATATTTTGATAGAGATCAAGAGTAGTAGAGCAACTAAAAAATATTCAAGTACATTTCCATTGTGATTGTACCCATAATACAAACCAAGCAATCATGCGGAGTATTATACCATAATATCCGCGAATTCATTTTGAACACCATCTCAGCGCCAATCGTAACAGAACCAAGCAAATGGGTATATGCGTAGAGAGCATCCGTTCATCCGTTTATCTCAAGCCAAACGCCCACCAATGCCAGCCATGCAACACCGTTAATAAAACCTTCCATCGTCCTCTGTATAGCACGCACCTATATCCTTCCTATAATACCGTATTCACCCAAAAGAACGCAAGATTCGAAGCAATTAATGTCCCGGTAAAGCTTCGTGTGCTACAGCACAAGCTTCTTCAAATGTCGCCTGAGCCTCATGTCTCTTTCCAGAGATATCATAGAATTGTGCCAACAACCCTTCGGCAACAGAAACCCACAGCTTATTCTTGCTATGGTTGGCTTGCTTTAGTGCAGCTAAAGCACTCTTTTCTGCTTGATCCCCTAGACAGTTATTGAAGAACTTACTACACATGATGTTAAGAACAAGGCATAAGAATTGTGTGTTGTGGGAAGCCTTTGCCTTAGCTAAAGCTGCAGACAAGTGATTTTTAGTCTCGTGAATCATAGCGGAGTTTCCGGTCTTAACAGTCGCCCTAAGGATTGAAAATGCTGTCTGGATATCTTTGATAGGATGATTGACGCAATATGGCTCGATTTTCGAAATAAGCGTAACATTCTCGATGGGATCTTGCCAAATTTCATCTTGTAGAATCAAGAGAACATTGAGAGCGGCAAGAATTGCAATATCACGCTCAACCTGATCTTCGGAGGACAAATCGTATAGTTGGAATGTCTCATGCTGGAAGACTTTCAAAGCAGCCTTCAAATCGCCAGTTCCCTGCAAATAGACCCCTTCGAGATAGAAAGTAAGAGTGCCTAGTCGCCCCGACAAAGGAATTTCAAACTTTTCTGCAGCCGCTGTTATACAACTCATGGACTGCTTTACTTGTGACCAATTACCCACAGCAGCGCAACAGAATGCCATGTAAATGTGCAAATAGCATAGAATGTGACCACGCCATTGCTGTTTGGCGACAATCTCGGACAATAGACCAGGGGAGGTTTTGGATGCTCGGGATTCATCCCCTGCAACAAATTTTAGCATTAATGTATAGAAGAAAAAAGTAGAGATTACCTATAATTCTGCCTAGACCTTCTTTGAGAAACCTCACGGCTTTTTGATCGAGGGGATTTTTGTGCATTAAAACTATTCCTGATAGCAGATAACTGTGTTCATGTTAGAAATTCTCAGGGAAATCAAGAAGCGTGTGATACATACGTTAAGGCATATGCATCTCTCTTATTCAAGAATGACATGACTATCTGGCCTCGTCCATCTTCCCTTGTACTCAAAACATTTCGGGTATCTTCACTGATGAGATTTTTGACTTTGTGAACGCCGTCTATAGGTATAGTAAGAGTGTCATTTTCGATGCTCCACGCCGTGTTTTTCAATAAATCATCCATAACCATCTGCATTGCCCTCAAAGTACTCAGCATCTGAGCTGGATCTCCACGAAGTATACTACAAATAACATCAAGAATATGAGTAAGACCAATGAGCTGAGGTATGCTGCTTTTGTTGTCAAGCTGATAGGTCCGTGCCGCAGCAATAGCTCGTTGAACATGCTCAATTCCATCTACTCCGGCGGACTTTAAGTGGGCAATAGCTTCCATGAGAGATGCAACAATATAAACAGAACGATCTCCCTGTTGGTTCGCAAGTGTTGAAATGCCTCGAATATTTTGTATGGCCGCATGATTATCTGTTGGAGTCCTTAATTGTAAAGCATGTGATGCTCTAAGAAATCGGAATACATAGACCCAGGCATTGTGTTGATAGCTAATAACAGTCAGCGATTATAGAAAATATACTTGAAACCATTTACATACGCTTGCGCATCGGAGATATGGCTATCAAGTGTTTTCATGGCTGCTTTTGGATTCTTCTCGAACATCAACCGAGCGAACAAGAACTGCATTACATATTTGAGATCGTAGTAGTGATTCTAATCTCATGTTAGAAACTTTAGCCATGAAAAGAAAAGTGTGTCATACTCTTTCGCAAAGTATTATGCCTTGACTAAGCATGGTCTCTGCCTCTGCATAGTTGTTTGTCTCTTCGTATATAATTCCGGCAATCCGCAGTCGAACTTTAGCCTCCAACCTTGCAGGAAGCTTTAATTGCTTCAATGCAATAGTCAAACATTCCAACCCCATAGTAATCAATTTGTGATATGCGTGAACATTTTCTTCCGTCATGGCGATCGCAACTGCTGGTGCAAGTTCATGCGCTGCGCCGAAATACTCCTCTGCCAGCGAGATCAAAAGGAGAGGATAATCAAGTTGCGTCGGGGGTTTCGTATGGGCTACTTGAGGATTTATTTGCTCCATTGGCATGTTTGACTGAGGTAGTATGCGATGTTGCGGGGCGCGTTGAATGAGAGGATATTGTTGCTGGATGGGTTGTGGGATTTGAACCTGGACCTGAACTGGAGGTTGATGTTGAGGTTGAGGTTGATAATACTGCGACGCGGGTGATGGAGCCGTACGAAAATTGTCGGGCGCATATCCAGTCGTGGACATATTGTATGGAAGTTGAACATTTGGATTCCAATATGATCTTTGATCCTGCTGCATAGCTCCTCCCATCTGGTACTGTCGCACGCTTGCACCGTTCTGCATCATCATACCGTTCCTATCATATTGAGGCGAATTGTCCTGCGGAGGATATGCGTTTGGATCATACCCGGGCCAAATATTGGGCATGCCATGATTTCGAGACATAACTCGCCCCTCTTTTGAATAAACCTCAGTCAAAATATATCCGCGCGGTGGTGAAATATAAGAGATAAAATAAATATAAATGAATGTTCACGAGCATTTCCAGAACATTGAAAGGATGAATGACATAAGAATACTCTACAAGGATGCTAACTAGGTGATCAGAGTCAGCCAATGACAATCGAAGGGTTTCACCGAAGTCTTTCCCGATAATCTCCATGAGTTTTCAGCACAATTTTGCAAGTGGGTGTAAAGCAAAAGGAGGTCTGTACATCTGCTGGCGTGTGTACTTCACTACTTATAATCTGTTCAATCCCCCTTCTTCTCTTCTTGTACCAATTTCAATTCGTTTCCTTTTCAATAGATGTATGTATATCTAGTACAATCTACCAATCTATCAATCTGTCTTTCGTTATCACAAAAAGCGACCATTTCACGCCTCGTTACACCAAAACAGTTCTAGAAGCTTTTTAATAAAAGTTGTTCATAAACCAATTAGGATGGAGTGGCTTGGACATGCAAAGATTGGATTTACCCATCCTCCAAATCCCATAAACCTCAAAAGTAAAGATGGTTCTACCACAGATCTTCTTAAGATATGTGAAGAGTCAACTCCGCCATGTCGTCTCAACCCCCTTTTATTCAATGGTAATGGAATTCCTTTTTGCAACGAATGGTCTGGACGTAAAGTGACTAACTCCATTAGGTCACATGCAAACGTTTTGGACTGTTGTAAAGAACGATGGACCTCCCATTTACTATAAACGAAAGTTATTTGAGAATGAGGATCCAGCTTTCCAAGGCTCTTTTGCTGTTGATTTCGTAGTCCATGAGCCATATAGCGAGGTTGATGATACTTTGCCTATTCGTACTACATACTATACGGATGAAGAATTCTCAGGAATTGCATCTTTAGATAGCCGACCAATGCTCGTGACTTTACATGGACTCTCCGGTGGTTCTTACGAGATCTATCTTAAGCATGTATTGGAGCCTTTGGTTGGAGCCGATCATGCTTCAAAGTGGGAAGCATGTGTTATCAATAGTCGTGGATGTGCCAAACATAAAATCACGAGCAGTGTATTGTACAATGCAAGAGCTACATGGGATACTCGACAGACGATTGCTTGGCTGAGAAAGACCTTTCCTAACAGACCTTTGTTTGGCATCGGTTTCTCTCTAGGAGCTAACATTCTTACCAATGTATGTTCCTCAATTGTTTTCGTTCTGCTTAATCTTCCTTAGTTGTACACACCCCCCCCCCCTGCAGTTTGCCTCTTGATTTCTGCCATTGTTCCTGCGTGCCCTCCTTCTTGTACCTTGACTTTATTGACACATCCTAGTATATTGCCGAAGAAGGAGATGCATGCGTCCTCAAAGCCGCCGTCGTCTGTTCCAACCCCTGGAACTTAGATGCTGGATCACTCGCTCTCCAAAGAACCTGGCTTGGAAGAGAAGTTTACTCCAAGACTATGGGTAGCAATATGAAAAGACTCGTTGAACTTCACCATGACCAGATCATCAAAAATCCCAAGATTGATTTTGACAAGATCAGGAACATTACCTACCTGCACGAATTCGATCGACAAATCCAAGGTCCTGCTTGGGGCTACCCTACGGAGGGTGCATACTACAGAGACGCTTCATCAACAGATTCGCTACTGGCTGTGAAGATTCCTTTCTTTGCTATAAATGCTGAGGATGACCCTGTAAGTTTCACTCACTTCTCTTGGTCATCAATACCTACTAACATATCTGCAGATTGCCACCGGTGAATGCTTACCACGTGAAGAAATCAAGAAGAATCCATACACAGTGCTGTGTACCACATCTCTAGGTGGCCACTTATCATGGTTTGAAATCGGGGGACACAGGTGGCATGCTCGCCCAGTAAGTGGAGCCTTCTTCAATTCGTACAACTACCACTAATCAGATACAGTGTGTCAACTTTCTAAACAAAATGGCTTTTGAGGTACAACTTGATACCATTGTTCCTCCTGACGCACACGATTCCGCTGATCTGAGTCCCCCTCGCCCTAAATTCCAACCAATGGTTCGAAAATGGACTTGAGTTTCAGCTATCACAAGCGATCTGGACTGAAGCTGCTGGAATAGAGCGACCCATGTTTTATAGACTTTATTTAGATATTGTAGCAATTCTCAAACACAGTAATAATCTAATGTCAATACACCGCTGGTATACCTCAAATGCCATTTTTAATCCTCGTCCCACCCAAGTTGCATTCGCCATAACGCCGGAATATAATTATGCCTGCCTGCCTGTCTTTCCCAGAATAATAATCTTCAATTGAAAATCCGTAATTCAACTTTCAAGCAAACGAAACGGTCTTCTTTTTAGGCTTCAAAGGTTTCGTTCCAGCCAATGCCTCACCCTTCACATTGTCACCATCATCGTCTCCCCCTCTATTCCTCTTTTTCCTCAAACCCTGCTTCATTTCACTTAATTTTTCCTTTTGTAATTGCTGCTTTCTCTCATGCTCTGCCTTTCTCGCCTCTCGAATCTCTTCCATCTGTCGGGCTCTCATCATCTTACTCTCGATTTGGCCATCCTTATCTGCGTTTACCATTGCGAGAATCGTCATCATGGATTCCTATTTGCGCAAGTGATTAGTCCAAGTTCCTCACTTAAATAATTGATCAACCCAATATTTCAACCCTAATATCAACCTTCCCTTCTCATCCCACACGCCCCAAGATAAAGAGAAAAAACCCACCCTATCATCCACAAAAACCTTCCCCTTCTTCTTTCCCTTTGGCTTCTCTACTCCCACCGGTGTAATCATATTCAGTGCCGGGATACCCAATTCCTTCTCCGTATAAACTCTCCTCTTCTTCTTCAACGTAGCCAATTTACTTCCTTGCTTCTGTTGTTTTGGTGGGGCTCCCTTAGACTGTGTAGCTTTTTTGCCTTTCGATTTCGAGACTCCATCGCTTTGAGCTCGAGAAACGGTTTTGCTGTTGCGAATTCCAGAACCGTTTGCAGCATGCTTGGATGCATTTTTATTTTTTACGGTACTGGTGCGGGAAGGCGCCATTGTGATGGTAGTTGAATTGAATGGTGTTGTGAAGAGGAATGTTTGGTGATAGGATTTGGTATGCGATAAAAGATTTACTGATATGCGATGGCTTGATGGAAATTTACATTTTTTTGCCAAGAAAAGCGGCGAGCTAGCGGACGGGGTGGGGCAATGAATACCCCCCGCGAAACTTTAGAGACACCCTTCGAGCCTACTAGACAATTATTTCGATGAATCAAAGCCGTTTACTCTAGGAGTCTGGAGGTGGAACAGATATGCAGGCACTGAGTATACGAAATACGTATATGTATATGATTTTTCTTCTAACGCTAGATTCTGATTTCTATAAATGACTTGGTATATTTTTCAACCCTCCTAATTAACTTAGAGTCTCCTGGCAATTCTTGCAGCCATTCAATATCTGAGTCCAATATGTGCATTCATGACAAGCCAATATCCCACACCAAATATTTCTATTGATATCATTACATCCTCCACTCAAGTGCTCAAAGTACCCTTTGTACTTGGAACCTCACCCTCTCTGCCCGCTACTATCGAAGTAGCCTGTCTGACTGCCACAGCCAATGCCTTGAACGCACTCTCCGCTCTGTGGTGATCGTTATCACCCCTCAAACAATCCACATGTAATGTGATTCTTGCGCCTTGTGCAAAACTCTGCAGACAATGTGGGATCATTTCACAACTCAAATCTCCAATCTTCTCCCTCTTTAGTCCCAAATCTATGACACTGAATGGACGGTTCGAAATATCCACAACGGCTCGCGAAAGCGCTTCATCGAGAGGACAATATGCGGACCCAAAACGTGCAATGCCTACAGGGGTTCCAAGAGCTTTTGCAAATGATGTGCCGAGCGCGATACAGACATCTTCAGCAGTATGGTGGTCATCGACTAAAATTTAAATTAGCATTTGCATAGCCAAAGACACATCCCGCAGTAGAATGAATGAGAAGACATAAAACATACTGTGCAAATCTCCTTTACAATTGATCGCTAAACTCCAACCAGCATGCTTTGCCAAAGCATGCAACATATGATCCAAAAATCCAATTCCAGTATGGATAGCAATGTGTTGCGATTTTGATACCTGGGAAGCATGTCCCTCTTCACCACTCAGCAATTTCTTATCGGTATCCGCTGGGAACTCTCCTCCATCGAGGTTGATTGCCAGTTGAATGCTGGTCTCATTTGTGTCGCGCGCAAGCGCCGTTGATCTAACTGGAGCCATTATTGTGATTGAGATATTGAGTAAAATTTGTGATGAAGGGTTATGTATTATATCACACTTCACCACAAACAGGTACTGACTCCAAAAAATTATATCGGTCGGACTATTGATCGGAATGAGCCGAGGCGGGACCATGAATAATGACGTTCCAATCAAAGCCCACGGGATTTGAAATCCTATGATCATTCTGATTCAACCTCATTTTGCAGCAAGATAAATGCAAACATAAGGTTCAAAATGCACCAAACTGGTGGATTAAGAAACGAAGAAGCGAATGTTGCAGCTTGGGAAGCTGGTAAAGGTGCTGCAGTTGGCGGTGCAAAGGTAATTGACTCTTCATGCGGTTTTGGTAGCCAGCTTTTCAGAATGATTGTTGATTGTGATGCTGTAGTGGGGCTTGTTTGCAGCTGCATTAGGAGGTGCTGGATATGCTCTTTCTCCAATATACAAAGGATTGACGATTCAATTCAAAGTGTGAGTCAGGCTGCTATATATTGGGGAATGGTTAACTAATGATCGCGTGGAAAGATTTATCCAGATGGGCTTTATGGTTATGGGAGGTTCTCTTGAAGCGGATCGACGCATCAGAGAATATGAAGCAAAAGTGCGAATGGAGAAACGTATGATCAGGGATCGAGCAGTGTGGAACCAGTTTGAAGAAGAATATGAGCAATCCGCTTCAAAGCAAGATAAATCAAGGTAAAATTGTACTCATAAGGAGTTTTCAGGGTTCTTGTACATAACCAATATCATATACGCCAGCTGTATCACAAAGCTCCAAACTCCCTAGTAATGCTTTTTCTCATATTTCCCATTATTTAGCAACGAATTGTCTTGAGTCCATATTCAACTTGCAAAGCCTTGCAATACAACCACTCAATTGAAGTAGCGTCTGAACTCCTTCCAGAATCTTCATATGCGTGAATCCAATTTCCTTGATAAACTCCAATTTCGAATGCTCACTCAAAGTGTTGACCGTCTTCGTAACCCTGAACATGGTGCTTATGATATCGTGACTCGAGTATCCCAAGCCCCATAACTCGTTCAATGTCTCCAATGCAGAATCAATTTTGCCCTCGTAGCATGCCTTTATCATAGCTTGCACTTTGATGGGGTGAGGTGAATCCACAACCTTGAAGACATTATCTCCATTGACGAGTCCAAAACCAGCAAAAGTGGACTGCAAATTATTGATAGCCTGGCGCATGTCTCCCTCTGCGCTGAAAACCAATGCAGCCAATCCATCATCACTATATTCCACCTTCTCTGTCTCGATGATTTGTAGCAATCGTTTGACTACTTGCTGATCTGTCAGTCTTGCATATCGTAAAATTGCACATCTGGATTGTAAAGGCTCGATAATCTTATTCGATTGGTTGCATGCAAAAGCAAATCGAGTAGTCGAACTATAGATCTCCATTGTACGACGTAAGGCTTGTTGAGCTCCAGATGTCATACTATCTGCTTCATCGAGAATAACGAGTTTGTGGCGACCGGCCGGGAGTGTGACTTTCTTTTGCGCAAATCCCTTAATGCGGTTGCGCACAACATCAATACCTGGTTGTCTATGTATTAGCACAACTGGCTTACGAATCCTCTGAGGACTAAATACCTCTTTCGTCACTGGCGTTCAATTCTAATACTGCCTCCTTGTATGAATCTCCCAACAGCTGCCTAGCCAGACACAGTACACTTGTCGTCTTTCCGATACCTGGCATACCAGAAATAATGACATGCGGCATGTTTCCATCTTTCGCTATAATCTTCAGTCGTTCTATTGTCTCCGTATTTCCTACTACATCATCGAGGAACACCGGTCGATATTTCTCAACCCTGGTTGCTGCTAATCAGCCTACTATTCTTGCAGGAGAATCGGGACAACATACCAGGGCAATTCATAATTTGTAACTCCATTAGTGTTGGCTTTCAGCGCTTTCTTTGCAGCACTAGTAGAGGACTCTCCAACTTCTGGGGCTTTGCTGGTCGTCATGTTGAGATTTTTGCTAGATGTCGAGTGAAGTTGACGCGTCCAACCTGGAGAGACGCGATTTTCAATTTACACGACCTTGAGCCACGTGATTCATTCATAACCAGAACCACAACTTTTGCAGGAACGCAATTGTTAAGATCACCGATCATAATCATGCGCAGTCTGTTAAGCAGCACTACACTTGTCCTCGTCACGTCCATGCTATTAAGTTTTTCTTTCGACCGTCTTTCGCGCGCAATGAGATTTGCGCCTTGTTTTTGAAATTAAAACTTGAAAGTACGAGTTTGTAGATACATGCAATGTCCATAGTGTTTTGCTAGTCGAATACAAGTGCATCCATCATACTCACTTCGAGTTCTAAGTCTAACTACTCTGGATGTTCAACAAGTTACCGGACGACCTTTGTGATCGGACGTCAATTGATCTTTCACTTCCGGAGAAGACTTCTCGCAATGTGAAATCCATTCGTTTCATATATCATACTCTCAAGTTCTTTCAGATAAGTATCTAGACTTCACCCAAACGCCTTCCTACCACACACAAAAAAATTTCTCCCAAAATGTTTCATTGCACGTCTGGTAGATTTTCTAACTTTTGCAATTCTGACATGTTTAAGAATTCGAAAACGGAGATGTAATGGAGATGATCTCCTTATAACGAGTTCGGAGTTTTGTGAAATTCGAAACAAAAAAGGGGCAGCTGCAAAACTTTGATTTTTGTTTGATTTAATGCTTCTTTGTTTACATATGGCTCGTCTGATCTTGCATCTCGGTATATTAAGGAGCGGGATGGAAGAGTCGATTGATTAAAGTAAAAGCGAATAGTTGTCCGATGGTGTTATATAGGGCGGGCACTCAGGTAGCAAATTAGTGCTGACACCACATCAGAAATAGCTCCCTGGGTGGTTACAGGAGGTTCAGAAACGGATAGCTCCAAGGAACCAAGCAGTTTTTTAAAAGCTATTTTTGCCCAATATCTCCTTTGCTCATAGTAGCCGTTGTAGCGAATCGCCATTTCAACTATATCCTGACAGCCTCTAGAGTCTTCACAACCTTCCAATAGAATTCTTTTTCGATGCCCACTTCGCTAAATTCTCGATTAGGATACCTCTTCTCTACCATCTCACGGAAGTTACTCCCATTTGCTTCCGCACCTGTCCAGATATCTCTCTCATGATCATTCCCCCGCAAGCAAAACAACACCGCATCTCTATATGCATCACCCATTTCTGGGGCTAATTCTTTCTTGGCAACTTCCCATATTGTTTTCCACCATGAGCATGCTGGGCCAATTGTATTGCCACGAGGTTTATGGGCGAAGACTTCCCAACGAGTCATGGCAACACGTTCAGAGGGGGTAGCAAGGGTCATGATCGGTTCCCAGAAACCGAGTTCGAGGAGAACAATACCCAAACTGTAGATGTCGAAACTAGGACGGAAGCGGGGGAAGTGCAATTCAGAGCGCTTGTGGATTATGCGAGCTATGTGAACATACATCTGAAAAAGTTGGTTATTGTTTCCTCAGTTGTGAAGCTTGACTTACATCCAAATCTGCAATACCTATTTGACTACCTTCGGATGGAGAACTATATCTTTCGTCATCTGGACGTGAGTACTGCCAACCTACGAGAAACGGGTGAGAAAGGTCAACTTCGCCGGTTCCCTGATCGCGAAAGAAGATTATATTGTAGCTAGATATCTTTCTATGGACCCAACCAGCACATTGGAGTTGATACAGTGCGGCTGCTAAGCTGTGCGATAATCTAAACCGTTGATTAAGGGATGGAACCTTTGGGCTCTCGGATGCGTAGGCTTCACTCAGTAGGTCTTTAAGCGTAACCGGAAGCGATACGGTCGAGGCGAATGGTGGTATACGATACACAAAACCCACGAGCTCATGGGACCCTCCTTCTGGAGTATGGCCAGTTGTCGTAGTATACCCTATACAATCTAGCATGCGAAAGTCGGCATCTGTGTCAAACGTTCGATGAAGCAGATGCGCAATATGATAACGACGAAGAAGTAAATCATCTAGGCTCAATTCATAATAATGCGTTTCTGCTGCGGCGAGACGCCATTCTATGAGAACACTTTGAGCAGAATCTGCTTTCAGTGAGATAGTCGATACTTGTTTGAACTGCTCGTTGGTCGAGTTCCCCACAAAGTGTTGTGCGAAAATATCCGAGTCGTCCTTTGATAGTGGAGCGTATACGGCCATCGTTCGAGGCAGAGGGACGTATAAACTTTTGTTTGCATGATAATATTGTAGTTTTGGCTCCGAAAAACTTGCAAAATCACTTGTTGGGATTTGCATGCTTTTTTGTCCATTTTTGGCCCAAGTGGATGACTTGGTGAATGGCGATGGAGATGTGTGGCCTTCAGATTCTCGAACCTCGTTTTTTTCATCATTTCCAAGTAACTCAGGTATCTGACTCTTGTTCTCATGTCGAAGTAGAATGATCTCCGCAGCTTTTGTATCGTTGTGGTCTATGAGATGCTCTAATTCAACCTCCATGAAATTGGAGTCAGAACCGTACTTCAACTTACTCTCCTCAATAGCGCCGACTATCTCACCAGTTAACCCTCTCATTAGACTATGTTTCTCTCGCCTAGGAAACAGTTTCTGGAGACTATCATTGAGATTGGTAAGCCTAGATAGTAATTCCTCCAAGCCAGTCTTGTCTTTGAGTAGACACTGTTCGACGAGGATACCTCTTTCTCTTTGGCAGAATACTTTGCACTTATCTTCGCTAGTAGCCGGTGAGCTGAGATTCGAGGTTTTGGGGCCATAAATTCAGTAGCACTTGCAGTACCTTGATTCTCCTTCAGTTTCTCGCATTTCTGCCCGATTCTTTTCCATTCATCAAGAGCCTCATTAATCCTTCCCAATATTTCAAAAGTCAAAGATTTTAGGCCTGGGATCTCGTGATCCTCATCTACAGTATCCAGTAATGTGATGTCATTAACTTTCCTACTATCAATTGGGATAGTCTCAATTCCTTCAACCAATCCCCAATATCTCCCCCACATTAACAAACGAATCCCCTCGATACGAAACTGTATATTCAAAGTCACGATTGTGTTCCCCAATTTCATAGCTGTGTCCAGGGTTCGATAACCGTGGACGCACGTCTGAAATATCGATGCGACAGATGCAGCACCTATGGCAAAGCCTGCAACTTCCATAGGTAATTGATTGAGCAATGCGATGTATGTAAGGCCTCAGTTACTGAAGAATATTTAATTTTAAGGAAGCTTTGCGGTGATGGAATGGGCTTTTGTGGCAGCCTGATGAAGGCTGAGCTGATTTGTGGCTATACAACTGCATACATAACTTTTTACACCGGGGGCTGCTTACTGCCCCGCTCATGATAGCCAAGACATTGATCTCAACATACATATCTCTACGGATACCTCTTTCTCCCGTCAGACAACAGAATACTTTTTTGAAGTATTATTCTTGTCAGTATGGTTGAAGGAACTGGACAGCCGACATATAGTGATCCGGATGCCACATTTCGATGGCTTAGCAATTATTTCGACGATGAAAGGTATTCTCTTGTCAGCCAAATCTGGTCGGGGCACACAAATTACTTGATTGCAAATTCAACCAGACTCAAAGTGGTGAATCGAGATTATTGTATGATTCGGCCTGTTGGAAGAAAGGTATGGCATACTCCAATTCAAAGTGTTAGGAATGGCTGCACTCTGGATATCTTCTACTCTGATGCAGTAATAGTGGATCAAAATGCTTTCACTGTTCACGACGATATATACAACTCGGATCAAAGCACTTTTGATCAGTTTCAAGGCTTTTCTCGAAGTCATATTCAGAGACTCATGAACCAAAAATACAACATCCTATATTCCTCCGAGCGGCAATCTTCAAGAATGGATTGGATTCCAACAGCAAGACAGTATAATGTTGAGGTGAAGCCTGACAAGTGGGAGATTCGGGTTGCTTTCTTCTTTGGTGAGAATTTTGATGCATCACAGATTTGTGCCGACACAAGGAGACGGAGAAGAAATATGGTAAATCGTGAGGAGAAAGAGGTCCCAATTCAAAGGATACTGGGAGAAAAGTACTTGAAGTTATTTCAAGCACGCTGGTCTACTGAATTACTAGAAAATACTAAGACGAAGGTGGACATATTGGGTAATCCGAATTACTCATCAAAGCCTGCATTTCTTGACCACCCTGAGGCTTTGCGAGGAAGGAAGCGGAAAAGTAAATTACGACAGTCGCTGAGCCAGATTCCAGACAGAAGTCCAAGTCAACTTTCATCCAGTTTTCCCGAAGGCTCTCAATTATTATCTTCGAAAGTTGACTTCCTGGATTTGCCTGCTAATCCGATTTCCTTTGGCCGAGGTAGGCTAAAGAGACGGGAGCGTCGAAAGAATGGTAACACTTGCGGAAAACTCGAGGATAAAAGAAGAGTTAACGAACCAAGAATACTCACAATTGGCGAAACTTCAAAGTCAATATCAGTTCTTGAGTCAAGCATTATCCAAAATACAGGGAAGTGGCAATATTTTAAAACGATGGAAGCCGACTTTGTGCAAAAAACGAATTATTCATAGGTTTTGAATTTACTGATGATGACAGTGACAGTCTTGACTCGAACTCCACCAAGTACCAGTATCCAGATGGTGCTAAAGCATCTGGGCTTCGAATCACGATCAGAAACTTGTCAACTACATCTGAAGACGTCAAGAAAGTCTCATATCGAGTTTTTTCATATTGTCAACTTTGTGATCAGCACTTAAAGAATGATTATCAATCAGGAAACAATGCAAGTTACAGTCCTGCCTCTCTAGATCCAAACATAACTGTCGGAGGTCAAGATTTCTCTTTGTACGACAAGGCAACAGAGATTGTCCTGAGTCGTCCAAATTTATTAAAGCAGTGTAGCAACCATGATGTTTACATCTGCGAGTTACGGGATGAAAGTAGTATCTTGGATGAAAATCAGAATCAAAAGTCCTTGCACAAAAGAATTGGTGTAATCGAAGCCGAAATTTTCAAAATTTTGCCTACCGATCTTAGGTTGAGGGAAAACTTCAGTCAATGTAAGGATGACGACAGTGGTTCTGTTCACCTTCCTGATCAATATTGGCCGAAGTTCTCGATGCTTATTGAGAAATCTTGGAACGTTGGCGGATATCGAAATTTACCTCATTCCTCGAGCTATTACTCAACTCATAATTCCAAGTTGGTCATTCCTCACTATAGGACTAAACATGGCTATTTAGATCCTGATAATTTCTCTTCGGACTTGTATCTAAATAGATTCAATCCTATAGATTCCTGTAATTTACCTTCAGATTTGATGGAAAAGTGTTGGAGAAGCGGTTGGACTTTTAACGTGAGTCTCTTTATTCTTCAGCTTGTAATTGATCCCTCAAACGTTTTTAACACTTCAAAGTCATGGGGCTCAATCATGATTCAATGTGATTGCCCCGAGTCGCAAGATTACCAACACGATGTGAAGTTTCATGAGATGGTGGTCGTTGATTATGTCAATAAACACTGGATCAAGGGGCCATCTGACGGCTGCGTGTGTAACCCCAGGCACGAAGATCTGGCAAAAAAGAGATATGAGGTTGGTTATACGGGCGTAGCGTGGTGGCTTTGAAGACCCATCTACCTGGGCCGGTACCCGACATATTATACTGATGTAATTTCCAGATACTTCCAAACATATTTCACTACGCCAATCTGCCCCCAGAGATGTCGTGGTCGACTAGGAAATCTATTCATACGCACGCATGCCCTGCTAAGCCTATATATCATGATTTTATGACGCCAGACGCAAGAGAAAAGCAGCTTTATGAGTATGAAAAGGAAAAGAAGGATCCCAAGTATAAAGCAATGAATGCTGAGAGAGCATTCGAAGTTGGTATTTTTCATCTTATGGGACTAGGCATCACAAAAAATATTCAAAGGGGATTAGAATCGATCCGACATGCTGCCGAATTAGGATCCTCGCGAGCAAGAAATATTTATTTATGTTTACTCGAAGTGTATAACTTTGAGAAAACTTCCAAGGATGAGCTTCCAGTAGAATGGTTCATTGATGAATCGCAGAAGCAGGTGGATCCATGCTTTCTCGACTTCTGGTATAAAGATCGAAGTATTTTCAGAGTAATTCGGGAGCAAAGAAAATTTAAGTATTGTCGAAAAGGAAGGCAGACGTTGAGCTACAATAAGGACATAGCGCCGTATTATAGTATGGAGGATACACAGCTCTTAATTCAGCAAGTAAATGAAACTCGTGGACGTTACAACTCGGGCGGCACTCAACACAAGGGAGGCGAAGGAAAGAACAGAAACGTCAAAAAAGAATTTCGAGATTCTATCTATTTCTTCAGGAATGATCCTGTGGTATATCCAGATTACGACCTTGGTCCCCGAGCTTTCGCCTCCCTCCTCCACATTGCTGCTCTTTTTGGTTTCGATTCTGCTGTTGTTGCATTTCTCAACTATGGCTTTGATATAGATGCCATCAGCCGTGAAACAATCATCGCCACACCTTTACTCTGTGCACTATATCGCGGCCATAGCAACATTGCCGAACTTCTCATCGAGAATGGTGCAAGTTGCCAGCCGGCTTTTCTATGGCCAACAGTTGAACGTCCTGGATTTGCGCCTCCTAGTCCTCTACATTATCTCCTTTATATTGATAAGTCCAGCGATGCCACGAATCTAGCGGATTATTGATCAAAAATGGCGCGGATATTGATTATAAATGTCTCTTGCAAAACTTACCGCATTGCATTTTCTGGAGGCATGGACTCCTGGGGATTCAGTTACGCCACTTCGCTGGGCGATAATTTATGAAAAGCCGCAGCTTGTCAGGACACTACTGGCGCTTGGGGCAGAATTCGCGCGTGAAACGTTTCTTATGCCGTCAATAGCGGAATTAGGCGAGGAAATGAAGAGAGTAGAAGGCAGTTTATTGCTAGAAACGCCTTGCACAAATCTAGAGATCTTAGAGATGTTCTTTGCTAGAGCTAGGGTCCCAGGAATATCATCAGAGCTCTCACAGACGCCTTTGGGTCTTTTGATCTGCGAGTATGACGGGCCCCAACGAAGATTACGTCAAGGATTTGAATGCTGGGAGAAAATTAGAAAGGCCCTCTCACTTTGTTTACAATTGGAGCCTGGAAGTGAGGATGCTGCATTGTATGAGGCTGTGAGATTCGGCCATGTTGATATTGTTCGATATTTCCTTAGAGAATTTGAAAGCAATGTTCAGAGTCAAAATAGGGGGCTTACTTATCTTCATACTGCTGTTCTATATGGACATATTGAGATGGTTGAATTTTTACTCTCTGAGGGAGCAGAAGCACATATCCGAACGGATAAAAGGCAGTTGACTTGTTATCATTTATTGATGATGAGACCAAGAGACGGAGAAACATTACGTCGAACACTAGAATTATTGTCAAATTGCAAGCCGGTGATTGAAGTTGGTGCCAAGGAAATGACAAGTTCTCTTACAGCACTTCATATGGCAGTCAGGAATGGGAATCTTTACGGTGTGGAATGGCTCTTGAAAATGGGTGCAGACAGGAAGATTCCAGTGACTGATCAGCTAGAACTACTATCTACTGGTATCAGAGGATACCTCGGCCAAGTAAAAGATTGCCCTCGACTATTCACAGGCCAACTTACAATTCTGGGAGAAGTGGTTGCTCAATATATTCAAGACGGCTACTACAAACCTCAATACATTGCTGCTCTTCTTGACACGGTCCTTGCGGAGTGCGATGGGACAATCTCGTTGGAAGATTTACTAATTGATGGGGGGTCCAGTATTAGTCTTCTTCATCTTTTATCCATCATTCCTTTTCCTACTCCTGATCGAAGTGTTCACACGTGGAATGGATTTATCATGGATGATAGCGACGATGAAGATACCCGTATAGTCTCTAACCTGGAATGCCTATCACTCCTATAAAAGGTATTAGATCGTACTCCAGCACCTCTAGCCAACACTCGTGATCTGCACGGTGATACACCTCTTCATTACGCATGTGCCGCATGCGAAATCTACGCCATAAAGGCCCTCCTATCTGCAGGTGCGGATCCTTATGCTCAAAACAATTTTGGTCTTCGTCCTATTGAGGTTTTATGCTGGACTAGGATTTTCTGCGGAGGCCAAAGTTTTCGGGTCAGATTTGACACTGGGAAACAGGGGTATCCAGTATATAGGCAGAGAGAAGTGAAAGAAAATCAAGTAAAAGAAGCGGTTGTTCACGAGGGATATACGTTAGGAATGAAGAGGGCATTTGAAGTCTTCGAAAATAGGGGATGTGTTGTAGATGCGAGGCCAAAGAGCTTAGCTCTAGCGTGGGGAGTTCTGAGAGAGGGATACGCGTCGGAGGAAAGAGGGTTGGGATTGAAGAGGATGAATTATCTGAAGGAGGAAAAGGTGGGCGAAAAGAATAAAACGCACGACAAGAATGTCAATGTTGACGAGAAAGAAGACGTCGACAAATACATATGTAAGATATTCTTAGAGTCATCTCGCTATTGAGAGTATACGCTCAGGGCTTAGTCTTTGAGTTATCGTGAGATTCTCACTCGGAGAACTCGAAGCGAACTTCAAGCTCAGATTTGTAGGTAGCTATTGAGCTACTTCTTCTTCGATTCATAAAATCGAAACTGCACTTGAATTTGTTCAAGCAAATTCAAGTCAAATATGAGATATGCAACAAAACTTTTAATACTCTCGGTTATCAAATGTATGATATTTTTGGATATTAAAGACTCAAAGTGAGTAATACATTCGTTGAATTAAATCTTTAGCAAATCGACGGTTGAAACGGCCGTATACCATCGAACATTCAGATACGAAATAGATATTCTGACTCCAAGACTGTTATTTGAATTTATGGGCAATGATCACAACAGCGATTCTGCTGTTGATTTCTTGAGGTACTCAGTGCCGTTGGAAGTCAAAGATCTCAACAGTAGTCCCGTGACATGCACATCATGTACCTCGCTATCGGACGGCAGCACCATTCAAATATGAAATAGAGATGTCATCATTATATGAACGATCTGTATACACACAATTCAACAGAAAGCGCTTCTACTAAAGATGGAACGTGATGACAATTTTCAGAGTGCAACTGCATCTCGAGGTATAGCTACCTCACAAGAAGACATTACACATGATCGAGAATCATTGACTCTCGATACCACTTACCCCGATATCGATCCCAGACAAATAGAATCGAAGCACAAACGGGCATCTGTCCTGATAGGTTCTGCAATCTTACAATTACCCATATGGGGCAAGTCTCATCTCCATCTCCCTCAATCCTCAACTCCTTATCCTAATTCTCCCAGGCTTCGCCATGAACTACGGAGTCCTTCAAGAATACTACTCCACAAACTGGACGCTCCAAGGAAACCTCGCCATAACCGGTATCATCGGCACCACCTCTAATGGCGTCATGTACCTCTCCATGCCTTTTCTTTTCCTACTCTTCATCAAACGCTGGGCCCGCTATCGACAGACCGCCGCTCTAGCCGGCGCGCTCCTTGCCTGTCTCAGCTTCGTGCTTTCCGCATGGAGTACACAGGTCTGGCATTTAGTAGTCACCCAAGGCATCCTCTCTTCATTCGGCTGCGCTCTAATCTACAGTCCCACCACCTTATCCCTCGGAGAATGGTATTCCACCCACAACCGCGCCGTTGCCTATGGCATCGTCCTATCCTGCAAAAACATCGTCGGTTCCGCATGTCCATTTCTGCTACGCGTGTTACTCGATAACTATGGATTTCGCACTACGCTACGCATCTGGGCTGCTCTTCTCATCGGAACCAGTATTCCCGCAATCTATCTAATTCCTACCCACCCCTCCAATGTGACCTCATCGCATCAACGAACCCGAAAAATTCCCTGGGACTTCCTCCATCATCGAACCTTCTGGATCTACACCATCGCCATCATTCTCCAAAGCAGCGGCTACGGAATCCCGCAAACATATCTAAACACCTACGCTCACGACGTAACGCTGCTTTCGCAAACCACCGCGACTCTCCTCCTTACCCTCTTCAACATCCCCGGCGTACTATCTTCCTTTTTCTTCGGATATCTAAGCGATAATAAACGATTCCCCCTCTCCGCCACAACCGTCACATTCATCTCCGCGCTCGCATCCGCGCTCTCCGCATTCCTCTTCTGGGGTTTGACGTCCCAAGGAAGCATGGCACTACTCGTTCTCTTCTCTCTGACTTTTGGCTTTTTCGCCGGCGGGTACAGCGCGACCTGGGGCGGGATCCTGAAGGAAATGGAGCGCGAAGCCGCGGAGAGGAATGAACCGATTGATACCGGTGTGCTCTATGGGCTTTTGAATGGAGCGAGGGGGATTGGTTATGTGAGTGGTGGGTTATCGGGCGTGCTTTTGTTGAAAGCGGGAAGTGTGGGCGCAGGTTTGGGACATTTTGGGTATGGGACGAGTTACGGGCCATTAATCATTTTCACAGGGTTGTCGTCTGTATTTGGGGGTTGGGGGTTGGTGTGGAAATGGAAGAAGTGGGTTCATTTCTCGTAGAGAGTTAGAATTGTACATTGGGTAGGTGGTAGTTTACTGTGCTTAGGTTCGTGTATACAGTGTTGAGGCTTCTTTCGAAAGACGGGATATGGCTTGAAAATAAAGAAGTTTAGTAAAGAATATACCACCAGGAAAATAGATATAGAAACACAAAAATCAAATCTGCATTCCATCAATCAAGCATCCGCGAAACCCTCCTCATAAACCACTCCAACTCTATTCAGCGGCCTCATCAAAATACACACCCGTAACCCTTCATCCCATCCTCAATGATCCCGCGCATACACGATTTCCGACACTCGGGGAGCTCCCTCAAATCCCTCAAATGAGCCTACAGTATACATTGAAGAGCACACCTCACCCTCACACCAAACGAAGAGCTATTCGGACACCACACTACCAACATCCCATCTAGATCTCTCACTTGAAAGTCTTCGCCTGACCTTTTATATCTGATTACAATGCCAAAACCCCGGCATGCAACCCAGTGAGCCTCGGCTTCGATTCACCCTCCCTGAGCTTCCCCAGATGAAGGTTGCCTCCATGTTCAACTCATCTCATATAAACCAACACTGATTTCACCCTAATTGCCAGATTCTTAGACCCATCCGCCTGCAAAATCTCATGGTAATATCCATTCAGTAAAGTCCAGATGCACGATTTGTGTGTAAAAATTCTCCGTTAATTCATTTCATCCATTAATATCCCTATACAATCTACATCTTTCTCGTTTGTCTATCCAGAAAACCCTATCCCATAATTACAAATATCATATCATCTTAACATATACCCTGTTAGTCCCATCCGAATCCCAATAAATGTATGTAATCACACCGAACGATCCAACAATTCATATCTATCCTTCCCACTGACCCTTCTCCAAAGAGCCATTCCCCTCCTCGACGATTTGCCCGATCGCACCACCCACATATTCCACGCCAACCACAGAAATCCACCTACAACTCCCGCGATGGCAAAACCGGCGACCGTGAGCAAGAACCAATGTTTGCCCATCCAGAAGATCGTCTGTGCGTCTTTTCCATGCCAGCTGTTGCCTTTGACGATGTTGAAGAAACTCCATGCGTGTTTGTTGTATTCATCTGGCATGAGATTACGCACGCGGCCTGCTTCGTCGGTAACAGTTCGCATGTATTCGATCCAGAGGACTGAGAGGAAGAGCGGACCGGTGCTGTACATGACGGTGATGTATGGCATGCCCCAATTTCTATTATATGCTTGGAGAGATTCGATGACGCGGAGGAAGAAGGGATGTTGAGGCACGGATCCCATGGCGTCGTTACTGATTCCGGTGGGAATTGTTCTGCGCAACCAGGCGGGATAGCTGAGGAGGGGATCGAGACGTCGTTTACAGCCGTCGTCGAGATCGATGTATATGCCTCCGTAATGTGCTAATACGAAATAGCGGATAGAATCTGCGCGTTGGATTGGGAAGGGGTAACTGTCGAATGTATCGAGGAACCAAGGATATTCCGTTGCAATGAAAGCTCTTGAAGCTTCATCTGTCCATAACTGTAATGAATTAGCATATCATGCCCTTTTCCTTCTCCCCATAGACTAAAGTAAACATACCTTATATTCATAATCATCATGCAATTCAATACACGATTGTTGTCCTGCCTTCCATCGCTCAGGAATCGACTCATTGATATATGTCTGATGAATGATCTTCGGGATAAGCTGTGTGCGATTCTCGATCAATTCGGAACCTGGCGCAGGTATTTCGGAGCGGTGAATAGCATCTGCAGCTCCATCTATGAAGAGTAGTGATATGAGGGTGCTGAAGGCATTTACAAGGAAACCAATTACTATAAAATTGATGACCAGGAATAGAAGAGTACCACGCCTCATGGTGAGGTTGGGCAAAGAATCGAGAAGACTACAAGCTTTTCCCCCAAGGACTTCGATTTCTCGATTGTATCGTAGTTATAACGAGTGAGGGTTGTGATAAAAGTTGTTCGATAAGGGGCCGTAGGTAAGGGTCTCGAGATAACGGAGGGGTCGATTAGAGAAATTGTAGAATACTCTAGGAGAGTAAGAATCAAGGAATTTCCAAAATCAGCTACGGCATCTGTTAAAGGAGTGTTGGTATGGTAGGTAGGTAATGTTGAGTTGGTCGTAGGATTTAAAGAGGACAGGACCAGACTGTTTTCCAAATTTATCAAGAAAGATGTTTTTGGTTGAATAAATGGAAATTAATTAATAAAGTTCACTAATGGTAAAAAGTAGACCTGGAAGTGAAAGGGGAAATTAATGCATCCACACGTGTATGCACAAAGATAGGGATACTGTAAGAACTGAGATTTGGTGGGACAAAGGATATCGTATTTCGTATTTTGTAGATATCTGTGTGTACAACTTAGGTGTCGACTGGTACTTGAAGATAATCTGGTGACAGAAACCTCAAATAATGTCAATATGCCAAGAGATCAAAGTAGACCAGATTATCAAAGTGTTGAAAAGGATTTAGACGTATATATGGAGTAGTGGAATGATAACAGTGAAGGTTTTACAGTAGTCTAGACTAGATGGGACCAGGATGATGAGTACGATATAGAATAATAAGTTGAAGATTCAAAAATGATAGTGTACGAAACTACCTAATAAGCCATCTTATACTACTTATTATTAGTTGAGAGGGGGGGGGAGGGGACATTGTTTGTGAAATATCCCTACTAATATAATAGTTACTGCTAGCTCACTAATTATCTAGTATGGGTATATCGGACTCTATAACAAAAGCCGATTTACACATATTTGAACATTAGCTCCGTCTGTCCGTCTGTATACACGGAACGGACATATTTGAAGATTTCCATCCGACATCACCAACCCCCATACTCTTAATTTGCAAAATCTAGAAACTCGCCACCCCTTTCCAAACACCATACGCATATCCGCCTCCGCCTCCGCTTACGCCACAACATCGAAATGTCAGAAGACAACTTCGCCCAAGTCCCCAAGATCCAAGCCTTCAAGCCTCGAATTCTTATTTCAAGATCTCGATGTCATATTGCAATCACTACAATTCCTAATTCCCGTATAAAAATTTCATATATCGATACCAATTACCATTTTCTTAACTCTTGTCAAGCAAAACACGAGTAGGTGTTTTCTCGACTAATACTAAACTTAGCGTGCCTTCATTCCATTCTAAATGTAAGCATCAAACTATCTACATGATTAGCGATTGTGGGAAGTCCATATATACTATCATATATGTTGTTGTGAGACTAGACCTTGTACTGGTACCTTACGCAAGTTGCGAGACAGGTGTTCTCGCTGTAATGTCTTCTAAAGTTCGCAACTTGCAACTTGCATTCTTGGAGATCAAATTTAGGGGATCTTGAGTCTCTATTTCTCTGAATAGGGATTCTTTTCACACCCTAAATATCCTTCTACATTCTTCTCAACCCCCGCAAAATCCTGCGCAAGACAAGGGTCCACCCAATACGCCCACGTTCACCAGCTCGCGCGATGCGGTATTAATCCCACCTCTGCAAGCAAATTCAGTCAAAGAAAATGCAATCACCCTTCTGACCATGCGATGAATACCGATGGCGCGAAAAAGCATTCATGTATGCTACACACTATTGCATTTCTGCAAGTGCAGAGAGCACTAGGTGGCTGCATAAATAAGCAGTGTTCCAGATGGCTTGCGCTTCGGCGGCTCGAAATGAATTGGATATGTCGATGTAGCTGAGGAAGAGCATGAAGCCCGCGGGATTGGGATCGATAGGGGCTATGTCCATGTAGAGTTTAGCGGTTGTTGTTGTTGGAGTGAAGAGTCGTTTTTGGTGCGGAGGGGGATGTGCGAGATGTTGGGAGCGGAAGAGGACATCTACCCATAGCTGATTATCTAAATTTGGAGATGAAGATTCAGACTCCAGAGACAGGGTGCAGAAGCCCGAGCGATCCTGTTCATGAGGGGGAGAAAATGGGCGTCTGGATCTCCAGCTTGTATGGAGGTACCGTCAGCGAGAAGTACGCTGTGTGGCACGAGGTATTCAATATCCTAGCGTTATATTTGAACATTTGGGCAATGGCATGCTAGAAATAATCATGCTGCGTCAAGCCTAAAGGACCAGTAAACCAGACATCCCTATACATGAGCATCATAAGGGAGTCTTGCAGTAAGCAAGATAGAGTGCTCACGAAGTAGTGAAGTCAAGCAATGGAACGTTTGTTGAACCAAAACATATTGATTGTCCTAAGCCAGGAAGACTGCAGCATTAGTGGAAGTTTCAGAGGCAGATGTGATTTAGCTGAGTAAGGATGAAGTCTCTTGCACATGTTGAGAAAGACAAGATAGATGCAAATCTTCACGAGACGTTCTACTCTACGGACAAGATATATTCAAAGGCTGGCTAATCAAAGGAGAACTCCTTAATACTACCAGCTACCAAATGAATACGCAATGATCTTATTTGAATATTCCCACAAGTCTAAATATCACACACGATCAACCCGACAACCCATCTCTCCCAATATACGAGTTAGACACTCAGCGTACTCAAATTTCAAATTCCAAACTCCTCGTTCACTTCTCCTTGTAAAAATCACATCACATCACCTCACATCGCATCATCTAAGCCCTTATGAACACACCAAAATCAAAACCGGGATTCGAATCAGACACACCATTAATTTCCAACTCTCTTCGATTTTTTTTCGCGCCGAGAGAAGTCAGAAATCGACCAATGTCGTTCAATCTACCCATCAGCAGATCTACTACCCCATTTTCCACTCCATCTTTTGAATCGCTGTAGGAGAACGTCCTGTCAATATGCTTACGGTAAATCACTCATCTCACATCATACCTCTCGAGTCTCTACCCTTCAATCTCAAACTCACATCGTGGACTCGATGACCTAATATCAAACTCCTTGACAAATTTTGTGCTCTTTTACATTTACTGAAACAAATGGGCTTTTTCATGAGTGCGAAATCTTGATTTGTGCAAACATGGAAATATGTATACACATCCACTTCTATTGCATTTTCCATTTCGTTGGAAGCTGGATGAGCCAAAGTACGAATAAGTGGGTGCAAAACTTTATGGTTCAATAGGACACTTACGTTTATGTTTCCTGAGAAATATAGAGTAAAACTTTCAATAATTTCACATTCTTGAGAAAGTATTCATTGCTTCAATATATACACAATCCTATCCCTACGTCATACTCAACCCCGGCATACTCCCCGGCATAGCATATTCATTTCTCCCCCTCCTAAACCTCAATCCATCTTCACTGCCCTCATCCGGCACATCCAAACTAACCCCCAACCTGCTTCTCCCCACTCGAACTCCCGTTTCGGCCTCAACCTCCTTCCTAGCCTCCTCCCTCAAATCCCTCTCCACATCTCTACTCCTCGCCCTCCCAATACCCCCCGCATCAGACCCCGTATCAAAATCCTCTCCACCCCTCGTGTTCTTCTTCCTCGGCCACAAGCTGGGCAGTTCAATTTGCTGAAACCGCGGCTCCACACAACGTTCATCAAACCAAGTGTGTAACCTCGCCTCAATCAATTGCGCAATTTTCGGCACATCTTGCAATCGCGATCTACTCCCCACCAGACTACGTATCGAAAGATCCAGTCTATAATCATCCAAGAAACAGAACGCCAGCGTCGTAGGACTCCCATTCAACGGACTCCCCGGCACAAAAGAGATAGACAAAGTCCCACTAAACCTCACGACCGAAACCGCCAATGCCACCGGCAACACCGCAACTAGTGGTTTCGGATAATTCAGCAGCAATTTCGTTTCCACCGCCAACGTGATAAAATCACTCAAATCCACATCCATCCTAGCCTGCAATCTTCCATGCTCTCTCCCCGCAGCCCCTCCTTCCCTCCCCAACGTCATCCCATCCTCATCTACCGGAATAACCCTACAATTACTGAAGATCGGGAAATCCTCTCCGAGACTCAATTCCGTGACTTTAATCTCATCTAGGAAATCAGGGCGATTCCCTCCATTCAACGCCTTTGTCAGACTAGTAAGAATTGCATCGTCATGCTGAGCATCCGCGCGAAATTGTGCAATCGTCTGTGCGATCAATACGTTGAACCAATCCAGACTTTCCGGTTGATGACTATCCACATTGTAGTATGTTTTACTCAGTATAGCATTGGTAGTCAACGGCGCCGGGTTCCTCAGAACGCTAGAGCGTTTGCGATTGAGAGGCTGTGAAGCATGGCGTGGTGTTGAGCTGCGGAGAGTGAGGAGAGATCTTTTGTGTGCGAGGGTTCGGGAACGACGCTCTGTGGCCCGGAGAGCAGCAGATACATCTGGAGAGGGAGGATCGCCAAAGATGAAGAATTTGATGAAAGCTCCGATGAGGATGACGATTGAGAGTTGGCCCAATAGTAGTCCTTGGGTAAATGAGAGTCTGCGAATATATATTAGTATAAATCCATTCCAATTGACATCCGTAAAAACGTAATAAGGGAAGAAGAACGAACGAGGATTCAGCCTTGTCTGGAATGGGGACCGGGATTGTCATCTTAGTTATGCGATTGAAGTGCAAACTTCATGCGAATAAGATGTGGAATAGAAGACAAGATAAAGAAAGAATCATGAATCTGCGATGATTGTCATTTTATGATCAGAAGCTTTGCTATCTACTTGTACTCCTGTGACATAAGAGATAGCTAGCTTCAAATACTGCCGTAACTCAAATGCGGGATGTGTTTGCATTTGATTTTCTCCATTTCGGAAGCGACGTCATTCAGCCCTATCAATTGATACATGCTACCAAAAAAAAGTCTAAACAAGAACCATAAAAGATCTTGAATACAATACGTATATCAGCATTAATTGTATTGTCAATTTAACTATCTGTAAGTCAATGATTGCTTGTACGCCATCAGACCAGATTTCGTCAATTCCGCCATAAGTTAATGAAGAATTTCATATCACCACGATTCCCATTTGATACCTTCATACAAACCAGAAAAGCCACATCACTGTCACACACACAACTAGGTATATCAACATACTTTTAAGCTTCCTAAAACACTACGAATTTCTATTATCCATTGCTCATGAACGCATCATGTCCCATACATACGCCATGACTCAGAAAATCTCAGACCCTAGAGGTTATGCATAAGGTTGAAAGGTGTGTAAAAAGAAGACCGGCTTGTCATGAATCTCTGGAAATTCTTTCCACCTAACGTACGTCAAACAATAAAAGGTGTATAATACAAATATATATCTCCAAGCTCTGCCCCTGTTTTCCTCGATTCAAATATGAAGACTAGCCACAGAGAGCCGTCTTGTCGAGGCCGTCAGTCATTTTCTAGATCGTGCATCATATTCTAGATTAAAAGCACTCAAAACGAAGTGCTGTTGATGGGTTGTATTGCTAACCCATTTGATTAAGAGTGCCAGCACATATTTATGCCTTTGCAGCATCGCGATTGCTCTGGGAGCTGGCGCTCATGACTGGTTGTGATGTGGGAAGAATACTTCCCTTCGATTGGTTTTGTCTAACCTTTGCCCATGCATAAACGATACCACTGACGAAACCGATGAAGATGGCAGATACACTTCCGAATGTAACAGGGGCTGCGAAGAAAACGAGACCACTGA